ACAATGGTGAGAAGATATATCTTTTGCAAGCACAGGAAAGGGAGAGTGAGTTGGGTGTAAGTCCCTGTATGTGGCAAGCTGACATTGCTTGTGTTGCCAGAGGAGAGGAACGCTGTTGCAAAACCTGATTTTATCAGTGTGTGAAGCCATTTGCCACAGACGTTTTTTTAACAGCTTGAAGCTTTTTCACAACAGAGAACCGACATGGTTACTGCTCCTGACACTTCTGGAAACTCGGATTTCTCTCTCTACTGTACAGCATGGTGACTGTTTTCATGCTTATGTCATTGTCAGAAGGTAGAGGTCATCCTCGGGAGGGATTGAGACTTTTCCCATGGGGCAACTGAAGGACATCCTGAAGGAGCGCTACTCTGGGTGAGCTCTCCAGCCCTTTATTTACCCCCTCTGACCCTGCATGCTGGGCCTACGGCGATACTTCCCCACTATTCCTAGTACTGTGTTCTTGTGGAGGAGTGCGGGGGAGAGTTGCTGTACCCAACCCGGATTATTCCACCAGCCTAAACCTGGACCGAAACGCAGTCTCCATCTAAACAGTCAACACATATGTTTACCTCAAAGGACTTCCCAGAGAGCTAGTCTTCTAGGACAAAATACAGACATACATATATGCATGCATATAAACTCCTGAATGTATATATACATTCGGGGTGATATGCAAGCTATTTCCCCCTTACACACACAACTTCTTATGAACATAACGTCATCATAGCCTCACGTGAAACTTGTTATTTTGCTTAACAAAATACATGAGCCCTTCATCTAAACAAGAGCGGGAGTCCTCCATGCAGATAGAGCATTTCTAAAACATTCACCCCTCCCCGTCACTCCATGTCTCCTATTCAGTCTGGACAGGAAGAAGTTTGGGAACCTCTGCTGGCCATCTGTCAAGGGAAGGAGGGGGGCTCTGTCACTACAGACCAGCGTTTCGCTCCCAGGCTCACCCAGCCTGAATCATCCAGCCTGAGGTGCCTGAATTCAGCAGCCCGCTCCTGTTTCTTAGACCTCTGACTATTTGTGCCCTCTACACAGTATGTGATCTAGTGTTCCTTCCTATTAAATAGTAACACAGTTTTGCAGTAACACTACAAAGCCTCAGCAGTGCAGGTCAAGTATGAGGAGAACTATCGACAACAAGGTCCACTCTCAGGCCTATCCAATAACTTATCCATGGCCACCTCACCTGGTAACTTTATCTAGCAAACTATGAATATAAAGAGACCATGCAGCAAATGCACCAACGATAACAAATTTTTGTGTTTGATTATTGCACAGAGGTATCTGGTGTGTCATCTTGAATACAAAATACACTTCCTTTAACCCCTGAATGTCCAGTTACCCCTTTTAATTTAGCTCTTGATGTAGCATTAGAGCTGCTGTAATCAATATTATTATATTAACAATAGATCAAAATGACTGTGTAATGTGAAAAAGGGGTCAGGGTTTAAACTGATTGTTGCTCAATAAGCCACTGTATGGAACCAACCCAGCACCAAAAACACAGTGGAGCATTTAGCAGCTAACGAGCTCGATATTTTTCTTAGATGTTGAAAATAAGCAACTGTTTGCTAACAAGTTCACCACATCAATTTAAAAGGTGCCAAAGTTGCCTTTAAAGCTTACACAAAATCTATTATTGCAGGTTTAAGGTTGCAAAAATAATTTTATTCCATATTGTATGACAGAATCATACTGTCTATACTGTATTTTCAGCTTCTTCCACTATTTAATCTATATGTTCAAAGCAAAGTTTGGCTGCACAGAATGAGATTGTAATCATTCCCCTACTGGCAGGTGGGTTTAAGATGTAATTTATTTTTACACATTTCAGTGCAGGTTTATACAGTCATTTGCACCATGATACAGTTTAAAGTCTTTTCCAGTGTTCTGAATCTGTCGGAGTTTGTCAAACTATGTTTCTAGCAGTGACAGAGAAGTCGAATAAACATATGTTGTTGTTAATTAGAGCAAAGTCCCGACTCCAGCTGTGCCACTGAGAATTCTCGTCTCTCTGAGCGCTGACAGAGACACAATCGCAGACAGATGAAGCACAGGCTGCTCCTGTATGTGAGACACCACCTCTGTCCCTCGCTCAGTGTCTCGCTACATCTGCTTTGCATTAGCTTGTTGCCATGCAGGAAAAAACACAATTCTTTTGTAGTCTATTCCAGCCAATCAGGAAGTGAATTGGGGGTAGTTTCCTGTTTCCTGTGTTCCCCCAGACAGTATGGACTCGGGCCCAGTAGCCCTGTTCGGTTTCCAAAAATCATGTGTTCCTCCAGGAAACGGAAAACAGTCATCCCCATAATGTCATTGCTCCCTCTCTCTCTCTCCTACACATATGTGGCAGATTTTCAGCTCTGAGTCATCATCCAACTGCAGTCTCATGCCAAAGGACAAGACTTTGATGAAAACAATGTGACGCAAGGGTTACATAGACATTACCGGGAGAGGAGCTCAGTGGGGATCTGACTGACAGCGAGTATGACTGCTGCTAGGTAACTACAAAGTGTAAACTCTACTGTCTCCACTGTGGGACATAACAGTCGAACAAGGACTGATGAAACTCAATAGTCCAAGCTCCACAACATAAATATTCTTCAGGAACATCAGTAAACTGTAAAGACATACTAATAATGCTTGTTTCCAAATAACGAGACGTCATTTTGCTGGTGGAGGAATGTAACAAAGTACATACACTCAAGTACTGTACTTAAGTACTTGTACTTTTGTTAAGTATTTCCATTTGATGCGACTTTACACTGCTAGTCCACTACATTGACTGAAAATAGTGTACATAGAGTCCACGTCTTCTAATGTCTTGTTTTGTCCAGGCAACAATCCAAAAACCACAGATATTCAATTTACGATAATATGAAACAAAGAAATGCTTAAAATCTTTACAACAGCAGAAAACAGCATTTTTTTAGCATATTTGCTTGAAAAACGACTTTAGCTATGATGCATTAGTAATAATTAAGTAATATTATAATATAATAGCATATAACACATGGCATTTTTCTGCATTAAGTAGTTTTGATAGTATATTCAGTACATTTTGGTCATGTACTTTCAATTGTAACAGAGTACTTTACAGTGTGGTATTGCTACTTTTAGTAAAGGATCTGAATGCTTCCGTGTTTAGTAAGCAGGCTTGTGTATAGGAAAGGCGTTAGTGATGTGGCAAGAGGTCATCCACTCATTCAGTTTTCATTCACAGGAAGTCAACGCTGCTGGCTGACTGAACATTCATTCAGAAAGTGCAGCAATCTAACAAGACCTTTGTGATTTAACATTACAACTCTCACTCTCAGGTCTGAGCATATTATCTCAATGGGGCTGGATTAGATGATAAACTCAAGGCAAGGTGGTTCTCCCTCCAGCTGATTCGCAAGGGCGCAGCAGCCAACTTCAACAGCAGGTAGCTTAAAAATACATTATACACACAATAAAAATACAGCCTAACTTTGTACATGAGCTCCAGTGAAAAAAGGGGCCACAGGAGTGTTTTTGTCTACTGCTAACTGGTATCATCACACAGCCCCACAGCTTGTATGTTTGTTGTCATTCTTTTCCTCTGCTCATCCCTTCTGTCGCATGTTTGGAGTCAAAACAAACTGGACAGCGCAGCCAGGATGAACCGGGTGCCAGATGTCCATGAAAACCGAGAGCAGACGGTCCCAAATGTCATGTATGTCCCGTATTGACCCGAGATAACACAGAGGAAGTGATTGTTTATTTTGTATGTTTTGATATTAAAAAGAAAAAAAAACGAGTCATAGAACTGGTCCAATTGCAGCATTTTAAATGTCTACCCCAAACAAAATAAACACTAAAATGTTTATTATAATTACAGCTGAAACAATTAGTCTAATAATTGATTTATACTTTCCCAAGCAACGTTACAACAAATGATCTGATTCCAGCTTCTAAAGATTTGCAGCTTTTGTTGGTTTTGTATCACAATACATTTAAAATTGTTGGCTTTATGACTGTTGGATGGACAAAACAAACTATTTGAAGACATTACCTTGTACCCTGGGAACTTATGATTAGTACTTGTTTACTTTTTCTTACATTTTGTAGACCAAAACTAACCAAGAAAATAATCTTCAGATTAATCGATTATGTACATGGCAAAAGTGTCTGTGTAATGTAAAGTAAGCTTAGACATTGTTTTTCTCTACTGTTTTAATATTATTTCTTTCCCCATATTCTCATTATAGTTATTATCTATCGTAATTCAGGATTTACATGTGTATAGGAAAACGTTCCATTATGTAATTACTAGTTTTACTCACAATCAGGGAAATCAACTTCTTGTTGTCTGCAATTTCTGAATTGCATAAAAACACTAAAGCCTCCATTGCAAGCTCAACTCAGCCTCCCCATGGCTCCATTCACAAGATATGCATGCACCACATGCCTCCTACAAACCAAGGGTACCCACTGGAAGCCAGTTAGATATCTAAATATAGAAATCTGGCCTACCAATCAATAGCTAGACAGTTAAGCATGAAGCTCTGGGGGGGAGGCGGGGGGTGCAATAACATAAATGTGTGGCTGCAGTTAAGCTGTGATAAAGGTTTATTTGATCTGAAATGTCCATAAAAAGCATCTGGATCTGTGCAGTTGTTAAGCCTTATTTTCGCATTGCCTGCTAAATATCACCCAGCGTGTTCAGATCAGTTCCAAGTCTCCATATGTACACATCTAACACTGGTTTCTTATGGCAGCTGCCAAATTTCCAGAAGGCATTAATTCTCTCATTTTTTTTCCCTTTTACATGTTCAGTTTTACAATTTGCGGTTCACAGACCGTGCGCTGAGGGTAAAGGGTGTGATTTGAATCGCAATAACAGAAGGAACAAGACAAATCTGTCCCACTCCAGTCTCCAGCCCGCACTGCCTGCCCGCTTGGCCCGTTAATATGGAGCCATCCATTGAGGCGCTCAGACTGGGGGTAGGGATTTTTCTTCTTACCTATTTTTATTTTAACGCTCTGGAAAACCCGGAGACCTTCCTCTTCTACCGCCATGCTTCAACCGTGGCTCTTTTCCTTTTGACGACTACAAAAAGACAGTCCTCCACGGTGGTCGGTTCTGGCCTCTCCAGCGCACGGATATTCCAGGGGTTTTGCACATCTATGCTCTCCGAACAGCGATCATACTCAAGCCCGACCGCTGCTGGTGCTGCTGGCTGGTTGAGAACAAGCGAGCAGATTCAGCAGCAGCAGCAGCAGCAGCGGCGCCAGTGGAGGTGTGGCTCCGCACAACACCGCCCACACATAGGTATGGAAGGGGATCCGTGCCACAAAGAGAATTGAACCTTCGCTAAGCTATGCTCATTTTCAGGTTCATATTCATATTTTTGATTTATTTATTTTATTTAACCTTTATTTAACCAGATGATCTCATTGAGATTTAAAACCTCTTTTCCAAGAGAGACCTGGCCAAAATAGCAGCATATTGACAAAGCACAGTAAAAATTATTGTTTGTATTTAGGAGTTGTACCAGAATAGATTTAGTTTACATGGTTTCATTTTCAAAAAACACCATATTTTGGTAAAAGCACGTCTCTTTTCACCCTGTGTGTTGTATGCTTAATTTTAGCGTGAAGCAGGTAGTTGATCCAAAACAAAGCCATTTAGCAGGTAACTGTGGCTTCAGTTCAGCTGTAAATGATCCCGAAATACAGGCAGAACAACCCAAACCAGCTGTAAATGTAAATGCTCTGTATTTGTATAGCGCCTTTCTAGTCTTTGTGACCACTCAAAGTGCTTTAACACTACATCACATTTACCATTCACACAGGCAACCTGCTCTACCTCTTCAGCCACCGCCGCTCCATTTAACTGTGCACTGGTAACATTGGGTAAGGAGGGTGGGGTTGAGTGGAGGCAGCGGGCAGACGTCTTGATACTGTGTGTGCTGCAACTTAGTGTGTTTCTCCACCAGTGTAAGGGGGTGCCACACTAGCTGCTAGGCAAGCATTATGACGCGTGTTACATAATGACACAGACAGGCCTAGGTTACTGGACTACAATCAAGCTATTTTCAGGCAGTTCAGAAACAGTGAAGGCTACGAGAGATGGTAACTCCTTTTGGGGTGGACTTGGGGTTTTTTCATTTTACAAATCTTTACTATCACATGAACAAAAAATATATATAACTCAATAGAGGAAGAGGGAACGTCCAAAAGCATAACATGACCTCTTTAAAGGGAAAATAAAGTTTCTATATTTGTTCATGTCTTCCACTATTTAATCAATCATTTGTGACAAAATGTTTTTTTCTCTCTTTTTGTTTTTCATATGACCATCATTACTGTGTAACTGAGAATTACATCCAGTATCTTGTTTCTCAGCACAAGTGCCAAATGGCCACAGTATGTGTAGTTATGAATGTATGTACTCGTGTAATATTTAATTTGTAATTAAAAGTGAATATCCTAACTAAATAGCAAGAGCAATATGCTAACAAGCAAACTTTGGCAGCAGCTACCAACACATCAACACACCCTGTGCCAAGTACCATCCACTACCAAAACCAGTGGCCAACAGACATCTCTATATGACCTACTTGATCCCCTTAAAACATAGCAGCATTAGTGTTGTGGATGACACTGCTTCCACTTATCCTGCTCTTCCTTGGCGCTAATAACCCCTCATATATCTGCTTCGATGTTCCTACTCCTCTCTGGCGTTAATCACCCCTCATAATGGCTACAGCGTCATATCGATGGCTAGACTCTGAATTGACAAAAACTAGCTCATAATGTTGAATGGTTTAGAAAATATAATTGTAGCCGCTGGCAAAGCTAGCTCACCATGCTCCAATACATCAGATCTTGTATTTGTTTCTATCTGAGAATTGGCAGTGCATCATCGGTGGCTGTTCAGAGAGTGTGACTTTTTTTACTCCCCCTTTACGGGCCCCACATGCAGCAGCATGGGCCTGACTCTGCTGGATCTCCCCAGATTGTTTCCTACATCAAATAGACTGCAAAAAGCAACATAACAGTTTTATTTCTGTGGAGCAAATAATCTGTTGCTATCCTCATGATCTGATCTTTGTAGGCTGAACTTAAACTGAATTGACACAAAATGTAAATTTATGTTGAGTCTTACAGTATGGCCTCAAAGTGACTGAAAAATTAGACAAAATGTACAAAGGAAATAACAATGCCCCTCATCGCTTAAACTTAAACATCGACCTGATGATTGTTGGTGATTTTGTCTGGTGTTGTTTTATGTTTCAACCTAAATTTACTCACTTTACTTTACAAATTTTGCATTCACTATCTTTGTTATCTATTCAAATTATTCTGTTCAAGAGGATACTTCAGGTGTGCAAATCTCCACTAACTGAAGGGAGGAATCATCATAAATCTCTTGAGAGCGAGATTATCTAATTGTTATGGTCAATACATATTTCTTGAATGGTGAGGATTAGGAATCAAGTCTGTGTCTCTCAGAGATCCACAGTTGTAATTAAAAATGCTATTAGCCTAATGTATTTGACTCACCACCAAACTATTGTCGAACTATCTTGGTGACAGACAAACAGAAAAAAAGGAGGTAATGGAAACACAATCTCTATGGCTGAAGTGGCTATACAGCTAAAAGAGAAGTGTTCTTAATAAAACACGACAGCAATAACCCGGAAAGAATAAGTGGTCCCTGTTTGTCCTGTTGACACTGATCTTGGGCCAAATTTAACAGATGGAAGAATGGACAAGGTGCTGTCCTGCCCGATAGAAGGTGTGTCTGGACAGGATTTAAGATCCATTCAAGTGAAAGGCGCAGGGTCATCATCAGCCCACATTTGAGCCTTCTGGGCCACGCCTCTGAGATCACTATGACCACATTCCTCAAAATAGCCGGAGTCTTGTCTGGAACGCTCTACAAACCCAGCTGGCTGAGCCCAACCCAGTAGAGATGTGGGGCTAAAGAACAGTCATACAGTATGTCTACAAGGAACGACAGTTAGCTGCAGGGCGTCTGCTGCCGGCCAAGGTGTTGGGATTAGCTGTGACTCCTTTAGAACAGCTCTAAATCTAATTAGGCTATATGTCTCATCGCTACTGTTAGCCTGTTAGAGTCTCCACTAGAAGAGAAAATACAGCCTCCACACAGCAACAATCCTGCCATGCATTACAGCTAACTTTATGCAGTAGAGGGGAGTTATTAAGTACATTTAAATGCAATTTAGAGGTACCTGTACATTACTTGAGTATTTCTACTTTATGCTACTTCTAATCAAGTACATTTTCAGAGGGAAATGTCGTACTTTTTACTCCACTACATTATTTGACAGGTTTAGTTTCTAATTACTTTACCAGTCAATCCATATTTTGTCAATCATTTTGGCTTTTGACCCCTTACAAAAAGCAGGAGGCTATCCAGTTGGGACTTTTGTGTGCCTTTGACTATCTCTTCTCAAATGTAAATGCTGCATATATAACCTCTCACAACAAGTTTATTTTGAAGAAAGTCTTTGTGATAGCATGATGGAACAGTAATAATGTAGGTCCTTTATGTTGGCCACATCCTGTCAGCTGCATGTTTGTGCAGCTAGTCGCAAGATGGGAGAGCGATTTGGGCTCTAACTTCATTCAAAGTTGATTTAGCCCAGCAGCTATATTGAAAAGTCTCATCTTGACTATACCTTTGCATGCACAGGTGTAACACCAGTCAAATCACCATAATATAAGAATACAATGCAAGAGTCAAGGATTGCCACTATCATGACACACCAACCAAAGTAGCATCATATCTGCAAGCAAAAATGGGAGGAGAAGAATACAGTTTTTCTTAGCTATTTGCACAGCGTCACATAGGGAAATAATGCTTTAAAGACAGGCATTTATTTCAGTTTAGCTAAAGTGGCTACGCCCTGTGGTAAACCACAAGCCTGTGTGCATGTGTGTGAGAGTGTTAATGGTGTAAAGCAGAGAAGCCCCTCATACTGTGGAGGTCTAAATTATCTTGAGCGAAAAAGTGAATAAGGATATCAAAATATGTGTAAGTGTTAGCGAGGCATCAACCACTATCAGTGCAAGTGTGTGTATATGTTTGTATGTGTATGTGTGTCAATGCAAAGCCAGTGACAGAAAGAGGAAGAGAAGGCAGATGCTGGTTCTAAGCAGATTAGTGAAAGGATGCTCATTGTTATTTTATTATGCACAAGCCAGCCACCAGAGCAGTGTTTGAGGGCGTTGCCACACTTAAAATAACTGTACACTTACAACTAACCCTCTGTACTATAGCTTGTGTTGGGTTTTTTTGTAATACAAGCATACACTGTAACGTACATTGTACACATGTGTATGGATATAATATATGTGAGAGAGACAGAAAGTGCTGAGTTGAACAGATGGTGACTGACGTGTGCAAAGTTAATCCTGGTATTATGAAAAAATGATATATACGTATGGATCACATCTTAGAAGAATGCATGTGATCTGATTTGTGGAAAAAACACAGAAATAAGTTTAATTTAATGTCTCTGGGTGCATAGTTTTCTATAATATATCCAACTCACATAAGCAGAATCTCCATGTTGATCAGATTTGTTGTTTTTGATTTTATTGTTCCCACCCTCATCCATTCTCAACATTGCATCTGTAGGAAATAAAAGGACAAAACGCAGAAATCATGCTGCAGGCTAGAAGTGTGGTTACAGAAAAACTAATGAGCAATATGTGCAGATAAGCCGATAGTCCTTTCTTCCATCCTCAGTTAACCCAGCGATCCAAACATTTATCCAAACACAACCTTTTGTTTGACATCAATGTCCATTATGATGTCCTTAACTATGGGAAAAAAAACAATTTATTTTGAATAGTAGCAACAGTACTGCCAAACATTATTATGAATAACTTCAGTGTTATCAACCCTAAAGAGCAAAGAGCACCAAGTGTTACTGCAGCAATCATACAACTATCAATGTTACAGCACCACCTAGTGTCCGATTCAATCCAATTGCAAGATTTACATAATGGAAGCAGTAGTTCCAAGGCCAGTTTCATTAAGAAATTTTAGACTAGTCTTTTATGCCAGTCCTAATTTTTTTCCTTAGATTGGTTTAATGCAAGTTTGACAGTTTCGTATAAATAAAGACTGACGTCAGACCCCCAGGCTAACTCTGAACTAAGAGCCATGTTTCCATGACAACAACCACTGATAGCTGCTGTTCAGTAGCATCAAATGTGGAAAACATTCATCATAATTTGTGGTTTTCTAACAATGTTGCAGGGTGAGCAATAAGAAGGAAGTTTTTTAAAAAGCGCAGTAACTGGTTGGAAATACACAGCAGTGTCAGTTGTGTTTGTTTGCCTGAGGAAACTTTTCTGTAGCAGAGTCAGCAGAAGTACTGAGCTCTGCCACATGAAGAAGCCACAGCATCTGAGCTCGGCCACAGGTCTGCTCTGAGTTGACATTTTATGCCGTTGAAAGTGTTTTCTATTTTCGCGCTATTGGCAAAAACTTAACAGTAAAATTTCCTTGTCACTGTTGCATTTTTCCAGAAAGCTGCAGGAGTAAAATAAGCTGAGTGTGTGTCCTATTTAAATTATTCAAGAACTACACAGTTTTGCACAAAAGATTAATTTAGGCATCTATGTGAAGTCTGACTATTGGTTTGATCTAAGTCATAGTCAAAGTATGTCTTTGTGAAACTGGCGCGTGGTTGACACAGCTTTTACACTGATTGGATTTCCTGAGCCCAAACAATGCACATTACATATCCTGATGATTCTCCAAGCTACTAATTAGTTATTTTGCTCTTGAAGTTTAAAGACAGTTCAGCTGACAGCTCATTTGATAGTTATTGATAAAATGTCATGCAAATTGTAGTACATACACTCACCTAAAGGATTATTAGGAACACCTGTTCAATTTCTCATTAATGCAATTATCTAATCAACCAATCACATGGCAGTTGCTTCAATGCATTTAGGGGTGTGGTCCTGGTCAAGACAGTCTCCTGAACTCCAAACTGAATGTCAGAATGGGAAAGAAAGGTGATTTAAGCAATTTTGAGTGTGGCATGGTCGTTGGTGCCAGACGGGCCGGTCTGAGTATTTCACAATCTGCTCAGTTACTGGGATTTTCACGCACAACCATTTCTAGGGTTTACAAAGAACGGTATGAAAAGGGAAAAACATCCAGTATGCGGCAGTCCTGTGGGTGAAAATGCCTCGTTGATGCTAGAGGTCAGAGGAGAATGGGCCGACTGATTCAAGCTGATAGAAGAGCAACTTTGACTGAAATAACCACTCGTTACAACTGAGGTATGCAGCAAAGCATTTGTGAAGCCACAACACGCACAACCTTGAGGCAGATGGGCTACAACAGCAGAAGACCCCACCGGGTACCACTCATCTCCACTACAAATAGGAAAAAGAGGCTACAATTTGCAAGAGCTCACCAAAATTGGACAGTTGAAGACTGGAAAAATGTTGCCTGGTCTGATGAGTCTCGATTTCTGTTGAGACATTCAGATGGTAGAGTCAGAATTTGGCGTAAACAGAATGAGAACATGGATCCATCATGCCTTGTTACCACTGTGCAGGCTGGTGGTGGTGGTGTAATGGTGTGGGGGATGTCTTCTTGTCACACTTTAGGCTTCTTATTGCCAAATGGGTATCGTTTAAATGCCACGGCCTCCCTTGAGCATTGTTTCTGAACATATCCATCCCTTTATGGCCACCATGTACCCATCCTCTGATGGCTACTTCCAGCAGGATAATGCACCATGTCACAAAGCTTGAATCATTTCAAATTGGTTTCTTGAACATGACAATGAGTTCACTGTACTAAAATGGCCCCCACAGTCACCAGATCTCAACCTAATAGAGCATCTTTGGGATGTGGTGGAACGGGAGCTTCGTGCCCTGGATGTGCATCCCACAAATCTCCATTAACTGCAAGAAGCTATCCTATCAATATGGGCCAACATTTCTAAAGAATGCTTTCAGCACCTTGTTGAATCAATGCCACGTAGAATTTAGGCAGTTCTGAAGGCGAAAGGGGGTCAAACACAGTATTCGTATGGTGTTCCTAATAATCCCTTAGGTGAGTGTATACAACTGGGCTACTAGTGGACCCTGGCAACACTTTTACAAGACCAGATATTGACACATGGCAGCAATCTCTGATGCAATGCAATAGGGCCATCTGTTTCAGTTTGTGTTGTGTAAAGTGTTTATCAAACTGCCACAAATCAACTGGCACATGGTGAACCTAGGGCCTCTGGGAGCCAGATAATTCAGGTTCCAGCCTTTTACTGCTATATAAGCCAGTATATAAAGGTATGATCAGCAAAAGAATGTGATGATCTGTAAAGGTAGCTCAAATATTTAAGTGGCATTATGTTGACAGGCCTGCTGAATGAAGATTACAGAGAAATGTGGCTGAGCAGCAGCAGTACCGCACGGCCCCTTTAATAGCTCTCCTCCCCGTCTCTCCCACCGTCTTGCTCTCTTCCCCATTTCGCTGCTTTGTTTTCATTGACGCTCTTTTGATCATGGCTGCTCATTCCACCGAAGAACCGTTCCCCTTCCACGGGCTGCTCCCCAAAAAAGAAACCGGCGCCGCGTCTTATCTCACCAGGTTCCCCGAGTACGATGGCCGAGGAGTACTCATCGCTATCCTCGACACCGGCGTGGATCCCGGGGCCCCCGGCATGCAGGTAAATCTGACCGGCTGCCTCACGGTAGCTACGAGCTAATTGGTGTGAGCTAGCAAAGCTAAAGGCCCGACCCATTCACATCATTTGTATAGTCACCCAACGGCAACAGCTAGCTAACTTCGGTATATATACACAACAACTATGACAAAGCTTTTCTGACAACCAAGTCAACACAAATAAGTCAATAGCAAGTGTTTTCTCCTGCTGTGAAATTGTGTTTCAGTGCTACACTAACGTATAATTAATCAATTTAACGTTAGCTAGTTGGCATACCTGCTAAAATGTTAGCTTGGCAGCTAATGTTAACAGCTGAATTTGTCTGCTTCAGGTTTCCTTCAATGACCCCAGTAATTACGGTTTGCCTTATGAATCTATTAAATTTGTTGCCGGTTAGTGACTCGTAACAACATGTTAACAGCCAAGTCACACTGAAATACAGTATAGTCAACTTACCTAGCTAACACTACAATATACTATAGTGAAATAAGAGCCTACCACTTTCCATTACAGTCATGTATGTGTGACTAGATTAGCTGGCCCATCGGCACACCAAATTAAGTTTAACCATTGTTTTTCAACCGTATGGTTTCCTCTTCATTCAGGACTGAGTCGGACCCCTTCAGTGTGTGTAAACAAATGTGTAAAAGGGGGCATAGCTGTTGCAAGGCATTGGCATTGGTTTGTAGATTATCCAGATGTAAGTTTACATTCAAAATGACAGGTGATGTTCTTTTCAGTTTATGATGTCCACAGTCCTCCCTGGTCAGTATAACTTACTGAATAAGTATATTGCATCCTTTTCAGTCAGCCTGACTTTGTCAATTAATTACCCATTACTGCTTCATTAGGTCACAACTGAGGGGAAGCCAAAGATCATCGACATCATCGATACAACAGGCAGCGGTGACGTGAATATGACCACTGTGTCAGAACCTAAAGATGGGACAATCGCTGGCCTCTCTGGTAGAACACTTAAGGTCAGTAGACACTTTTTGATATTAAGACTAATACCTAAAACATGAGTTAAAAGTTGAAATGTTCCATTACAGGGATTGTCCTACATCGGAAATCATCTTGTTTTCATGTGTAATGATTTATTTCATTGATTCTGTATCTCCCATTTTTAATCTAACTGTGGCTTGGCTTGATCACAAGACCTGCACTTCAAGTATCTGTCTTCATATTTATCACACACTGTCATTTTTGTCTTCCAGATTCCTCCTGCCTGGGTCAATCCATCAGGGAAGTATCACATTGGAGTTAAAAATGGCTATGAGTTCTTCCCTAAGGCTCTTAAAGAAAGAATACAGGTAGGAAGATGTTATATTATTACTGTGCTAGGTCTGTCATGGGTTTGATTTTGCACAGAGCTCAGTGCTCTGGTGACATGTGCACAATGACTGATAACCCAATCACAAGCTTCAGGCTCGTGCAAACTACACAACTTGCCGTCTTGTGACGGGAGTCTTGTAGTCATTGTGGCGTTCACACTACGTGACGGATCGGTGACAGAGGGTCACACACTACACGAGCTGACAGCGGCTGTGTCACCCGACGCTGGTCTCCAAACCACGTTTTGTCAAGAAAATACACGTGAAATGTGAAACAGGAAATGACACGAACCTACACACAAAATAGCTGTTGTTTGTTATTATAAAGATGGCAATTATAAAGACAAAGAATATGAGTGAAAGAATGGATTAGCACACGCAGGTAGCAGGGATTGTCTGAGCTACAGAGAGAACTGGAGTTCAGTAAAAAGTGTTTTGTGGTGAAAAAGTAGCTGCCTGCTCTCACTGGCTGGATGTGGATGTGGATGTCGAGTCGGCCGACTTCTCCAGATATTTGGCATGCTAGGTATGTGGCAGACGTCTGCGATGTGTCAGAAATGTGTCAGGAAGCTGTTGTGATGCGTCATTGAGTAGTTCACACATAACGACTGGCAACCGCCGAGCAACTGCTGATTTACTCCCAATCACAGCCTGACGGTCGCTGAGCTCGCAGAGTGGCAATTCGGGCTAAAAATCGTGTGGTGTGAACTAGGCTTTAGATGTGGTTAGTTGCTTAGCATAGATGCTAACATGTGGTTGTCCTGTCCATGCTCATTTTTAAGGTATTTTTGTTGTTATGGAAACTTTTTGTCTGCTAGAAAGAGCGAAAGGAGAAGATGTGGGACCCACCACACAGAGCAGCACTTGCTGAGGTCTCTCGCAAGACGGAAGAGTTTGACCTCTCCCACCCAACGCCCTCACAGGTCAGACCTACAACCTTGTGTTCTTTGTGTACTCTTAAGTGTTTGTGTGCAGTTAATAGTCACAGTAAAGTGGAGTTTCCTCATCTGATTTCTCTCTACTACTGTCTATCTTGCATGTATCCTTCACCTTGCTTCCTCTCTAGATGGAGAAGTTGGAGAAAGAAGAGCTGCAGAGTCAGTCAGAGCTGCTGGCATCGCTAGAAAAGAAGTACAGTGATCCCGGTCCCGTTTATGACTGTCTGCTTTGGAACGACGGCATTACATGGAGGTAAGCCATATCAACTTTTTTTCTTTTGTTATACAAGAAGTTCTTTACCTTTCCTCTTAACTATCTACTACTGTTTACTAATAGCACATTGTTCCTTCACATTGTCTGTTATTGTTCTCTTTAGGGCTGTAGTCGACACTTCAGAGTGTGGAGAGCTGTCCCAGTGCACTGTGCTGAGCTCATACAGAGAGACGCAAGAGTATGCCACGTTAGGAAGTGCTGAGATGCTAAACTACTCTGTTAATATTTATGATGAAGGAAACACACTCTGCATCGTCACCAGTGGAGGTGAGGTATCTCAAAGCACATAAACTATCTCCTCTGAAAAGATGAAAAAAGGTGTTCAGTCTAGCAGTGAGTTATGGCAGATTCACCAGTTAGGACTGGATAATGTGTAGAAGCCCACAGCGTATTCTGCATTTTAACATGCTTGTGCTTTTAAAGGGGCTCATGGGACACATGTAGCAAGCATCGCAGCAGGTTACTTCCCAGAGGAACCTGAGCGCAACGGCGTGGCCCCTGGTGCCCAAATCTTGGCTCTGAAGATTGGAGACACCCGCCTCAGCACCATGGAAACAGGCACAGGACTCATCCGCGCGGTATATTGCCCAGACTCTGTCAAATATAGATTAGCGGTTAACATACGTTTTTGTTGATTCACTCGTCAATTTTTTTTATCTCTCTTGTCACTCAAAGATGATTGAAGTCATCAACTACAAGTGTGACCTTGTTAACTATAGCTATGGGGAAGCAACCCACTGGCCCAATTCAGGGTAAGTATTGCAACAGTGATTGTGTGGGTTTATTTTGTGTTGCACACTATCACTAATCTTTTTTCATGATCTGTCTTTCAGGAGGATTTGTGAGGTGATCACAGAGGCTGTCCAAAAGCACAATGTGATGTTTGTTTCAAGTGCAGGAAACAACGGCCCATGCCTCTCCACGGTCGGCTGCCCGGGGGGAACCACCAGCAGTGTCATAGGTACAAACACTGATGGCATGATCAAGTGCTTACACCTTCAGATTCGGCATCTATAAACAAAATCTTTTTCTTTGTAAAACTGATGTATGTTGGAACACATTAGATCGGACAAATGCTAAAATTAATAGTATAAGCTTATTGTGTAAGTCAAGATGACTGTATATTATTATTCACAACAGGAAACATAGAAACACTGTAGATTTAGGAGTCTTAGCAATTGTGATGATAAAGTAATCCGCATCCTGCTCCCTTCTCTCCTTAGGAGTTGGAGCATATGTGACTCCAGACATGATGGTGGCAGAGTATTCCCTGAGGGAGAAGCTGCCTCCCAACCAATACACCTGGTCGTCCAGGGGCCCCAGTACAGACGGGGCCCTGGGGGTTAGCATCAGTGCCCCTGGTGGGGCCATTGCGTCTGTACCCAACTGGACTCTTCGTGGTACCCAGCTGATGAATGGCACATCCATGTCATCCCCTAATGCCTGCGGAGGCATCGCTCTAATCCTCTCAGGTGCGTCCAGGCTCATGGATTGAGACTAGACGTGTGGATATTTTGCATGTATGTAACTTTGCACAAATGCAAATCTGATGCTGGTGTGTGATTTTTTATTTTTTTGTGTGATAAAAGGACTGAAGCAGTATGGGATCTGTCCCTCTGTTGCTGCGGTGAGGAGAGCGCTGGAAAACACAGCTCTGAAGGTTGATGACATCGAGGTGTTTGCACAGGGCCATGGAATAATCCAGGTAACCTGACTACAGCTGCTATAGTGGACATGCTTCCTTTTCTGTTTCTTGGTCTTAGCATGTTCCTTTTAAGTTTTATTAAGTATTTTGTTATTTCTTTACATTTGTTTGTGTGCCTTTCTTCCTCTCAGGTGGACAAGGCATTAGACTACCTCATTCAACACGCCTCTTTACCCACAAGCCACCTAGGCTTCTCAGTAAGTGTGGGAACACAGAAAGGCATCTACCTCAGAGACCCAGCCCAAATTCTTGCACCCTCAGATCACGGAGTAGGAATTGAACCCATCTTCCCAGAGAACACAGGTACTGTTTATACTAGACAGCCATTTATTAAATTTTTTATTATTTTTACAATGACAAGTGTTTTGCATTGTTTTACACCATCTGTCTTCTTCTGACATCAAATCACAGAAAACTCTGAGCGAATCTCCTTACAGCTACACTTGGCGCTCACATGTGCCGCACCGTGGGTTCAGTGCCCCTCCCATCTAGAGCTGATGAACCAGTGTCGTCATGTCAATGTCCGCATCGATCCTATGGGACTGAGAGAGGGAGTGCACTACACCGAGGTAGGGACAGGAAAGAGCGTAGGAGGAAAAGATGGACATATTTCTGAGTCTAATTAATGTCTGAGTCTTTTTTTATTTCATCATTTTTTTTAGGTGTGTGGGTATGATACAGCAGCACCTACTTGTGGCCCCCTATTCAGAGTTCCAATCACAGTTATTATCCCTGCAAAGTAAGTTTTTAAATCATATACTCTGCCAGCAAGAGGTCTGTGTGTTCGTGTGTGTCTGACAGCTCTCTCTCTCTTTCACCTGTCAGAGTGACAGATAGTCGTAATCAGGAGGTGTGTTTCACAGACGTCCACTTCAGACCAGGCCAGATTAGACGCCACTTCATCACTGTTCCTCAGGGAGCTTCCTGGGCAGGTCAGTCTCTCCGTGTCACTGACCTTCAATCACTAATAGCTCCATTACCATTTTTGTTCATGTTATCAAAAATGTCTTGATTTTGTTGTGTTTCAATTCATACAATGATGAAACATTTCAGTACAGCATGTGCTTGAGGATGAACCTTTCCATTTTAATTCATCTACAGTGAAAATAGAAAATAAAATTATATATCTGCATCTAGGGCTGCAGCTAATGATGATTTTAGTACTCGAAGCTTCTATTGATTATTTCAACGATTAATTGATGCGTCGTTTAAGAAGTACTTTTGCTTGGCGGTGGCGCCCCTGTAATGGGATCAGCTGTGCACGTTTATAGGTGATAGATATTTATTGGTCCTTTCGGAAATTCATAGTGTGTCATACAGAAAACATCAGACCGACAACTTCAACTGACCAACAATCAGACAGCTGCTTTACAAACACAAACATCACCCGAGTACTATACAAGTTATACTAAATGCTCTTGCACACTACATGACTTTCAGCATCGGCTGATGGCCGTGCTGCTCAGACTCCACAACTTGCCGTCTTGTGACGGGAGTATTGGCGTTTACACTACGTGACTGATCGGTGAAGGGGTCACGCACTACACGAGCTGACAGCGGCTGTGTCACCCGACCCTGGTCTCAAAACCACGTTTTTTTCAAGAAAACACACGTGAAATGTGAAGCGGGAAATGAGCGATCCTGAACATGAAACAGCTGTTGTTTTGTTATTATAAAGATGGCAATTATAAAGACAGATGAAATGGGTGAAAGGATGGATTAACACATGCAGGTAGCAGGGATTGTTTGAGCTACAGAGAGAGCTGTAGGTGAGTAAAAAGGTGTAGCTCCCCTACACCCAGTTAACTCATGACTGTGAGGTTACAACTCACGGGCCAAAAGGAGAACAACAAACGCATGTGTGTACATTTTCAGCTGAGGTCTGCGGCTTACTTTGGGTAGCCTTCAACTGAACGATCAATCATGATTTCAGTTAAATGCTAAAGTTGCTCTTACTGTTTCCTTGTCAGTGTGCTATATAGTTATATGGATTTAACGAAGCGTCGATGCAAAGAATTGGCATTAATTTAATCGATGAATCGTTTCACCCCTAGCTGCATCCCTCAGTGTCGGTGTAGATTTTTGCTCTCATGGGGAAAAAATTTAAAACCATCAAATAGGCCACAAGGCAGCAGTAAGAGATGTCACTTGGAATTACTTTCATGTGTTTTTCCAAGTAGAGGTAAATGTGGCTTTTTAATCTTTAACTCATTTCTTCTTCTTGTCTCTCTACTGCAGAGATCACACTGACCTCTCATTCGGGAGATGTGTCGTCAAAGTTTGTTCTCCACGCTGTGCACCTGGTCAAACAGAAAGCGTACAGAGCTAATGAATTCTACAAGTTCTCTTCACTGTTGGAAAGAGGTTCACTAACTGAGGCTTTCCCCGTACTGGTATGTATATTTCATTTATTGTAATCATATATTATATTTGAGTGGGATTTTCTCTAAATATATATTGGAGTTGGCTTAAAGTTGTCAGTTGTATTTCTCTTAGATGACGTCCATTAGTGGCTGGAATGGAAGTCGCTTCATTTCGTTGATGCATACATATAAAAATTACATAATGGTGGACTCATTTCTGCCTGTTTTTTTTGTCTCCTCTCCAGTCAGGTCGGGTAGTAGAATTGTGCATTGCACGCTGGTGGGCGAGCCTGGGCGATGTCACAGTGGACTACAGCATCTCATTCCACGGGCTCAACACTTCCCCTTCACCCCTGCACATAGTAAGAAGAGTACAGACACACAGTTTTGCAACACTGACAAGTAAGCTACAACCCAGACGGTATCGGTTCTCTATAACTCATTTGTATCTGTACAGCATGCCTCAGAGGGCGTCACGAGTTTTGATGTGTCGTCGCCACTCAGGTACGAGGAGGTGTCACCCACTATTACCCTCAAGTCTTGGGTTCAGCCTCTCAGGTAACTGCGCTCTCTCTCTCTCTCACTCTCACTCACTCACATTTTGTTGTTCCACATCAGTGCAGTTGATTGTTTCTTCCCTGTTGTTGGTTTAGGCCCTTAAGTTCAAAGATAAAGGCCCTGGGAATGAGGGACGTTCTGCCTAATAACAGACAAATCTACGAGATTGTCCTCAACTACAGCTTTCACCAGGTACTGCCAACACTGTCAGCTTTTATAGGAGACGGAAATGATAATTTTATTTTTGTATGTGTGTATAATTTTATTTTGCTCTCTCCTCAGCCTAAGAGTGGAGAAGTTACCCCCAGCTGTCCCATGCTGTGTGAGCTGCTGTACGAGTCGGAGTTTGACAGTCAGCTCTGGATGCTGTTTGATCAGAACAAGAGGCTACTGGGCTCAGGCGACGCCTACCCACACCAGGTAAAATGAGACACATGAAGGGCTTGCCCCTAAAAGCCTGGACATACTTGCTTTTAACTACACATTCGCGGACCCAAGATGGCTGCCACATGTATCCTGTGTTCCTCTGAAGCATAGGTTGTGCATGTCTCCAGACATGATCCGGCCCTGATCTGCCCCCTAGTGAATTCAAGTTTAATCTTCCAGGTACACGCAAAGTATGTGGACAATACCGTTTGCGTCACTGGCGCCTGTCTACACCTACGCATTGTTAAAAAGCAAGGATGTTGGGGGCTTAAGATTACATGTTGTGGAAAAGAAGGAGCTGATGCTGGTGTGCACACCATGAGCTAACATATCTCCCCTCTGTCTGTTTTATTCCTCCAGTATTCTCTGAAGCTGGAAAAGGGGGACTACACTGTGCGTCTGCAGGTCCGCCACGAGCAGTCCAGCGAGCTGGAGCGCCTAAAGGACCTACCGTTTGTGGTTTCTCACCGTCTGTCCACCACACTCAGTCTAGATGTCTATGAGACACACCGGGCTGCCCTCATGGCCAAGAAGAAGGCAAACTCTGTCACGTTGTGCCCGGGCGCCACACAGCCCTTCTACATCACATCCCTGCCTGACGACAAGTGAGTCAATTTGATGAGGGACTTTTCTCTTTATAGAAGGATCTTATCATGCATTAAACAAAACTCCTAGGCCTCCTAGGAAACATTCACTCACTACAACTGCAGATCATTTCAGACTCTGACCCTCAAAGTCCACTGAGTCCTCCTGCGTCGCATTACATCTGCGCAGCGGCTGCCGGAGCTAATCGCATCCCAGATGCGCCTCTCTGCTTCACAGAATACGCAGCGGGTATATTTTTGATGGAAGCCGCATCAAGGTCAAGATTGAACCGTGCAGGAGGTCAGACACAGAACGGGATAGAGACTCCGGTCAGTTTTCAAATAAAACACCCGTGCAGACTCCCGATAGTTAATCAACAATAAACACAGTCAAATCAGACAAAAAAGAAACCATTTAACCCCATAGCCTACTTAACCATAGTAGAAGCACAAAAAGCAAGCACCAATTACCGAATCAACAAAATCTAAACATGTCAGCAAAATCAGGCAGGCAAAACGCTCTGATTTTGAAACGCTCCCTGTGGGTTATGTAGCCATGCAGATAACGGAACAATACAGACCCTAAAACGACAAATTAACACTAAGCCAACCACTTGCTCCACTCCTGAAACGGGTCTGAGACACTTCCAGTGAAAGTTGACGCCGGGAAGAGGACGGAACAAAACACTGGCACAGTAGTAACGCAACACGGCCTCACTTGGTGGACTTTCTGGGTTACAGCCTACAGGAAAACCATTACATTTGCTTTGAGATGCAGCTTGTGTGCTGTGTAAACAGAAGAGAATTGTATCATTGATCCAATATGGGGCAGTGGTTTCTTTCAATGTCAGAGAATCAAGCTTGTATTCTCAAATTGAAATATTTCTAAGGACCCCTTATCAAAGGTATTGAACACCAGAATACTCAGAAACACTGCTAGAGAAGTGTGTGTTTGGTTAGCGAAAGCCATCTATTAATAAATATATGAATATCTGTTTTTTGTGAACACATTTTGCTTAATGTTCCTGTGTTTATTATCTCTATGGCTGTCTTTCTCCCTTTTTTGTGTGCTTTTTCAGGATCCCAAAAGGGACAAGTCCAGGATGCTATCTTTCAGGCTCCCTTGTTGTCCCCAAGAGCGAGTTTGGCAAGAAAGCAGTGAGTAGTCTTATTTGTTGTTACCCTCTTCCAGAGCAATAGTCTATCCTGCTCCTCAGGATCTAAAGTCATGGTAGTTTTCAGTCTCCTGTTCTAATCTGGGACTTTAACACGTGTGAACGCGTAACAAACTGCACTGCAGAATATATCTGGTTACCGTGGCTTACTTGCCTATCATTATTCACTCATAAATATGTAACACCCAAAGCACTTATGGTCCTGAGGATCAGGAGTGAAGACCACTGCTCCAGTGCTTGTTGCTTTGAACTTTTTTAAGGTCCTGTATAGTTATTCTCTCTTTACCTTGACCTGAGCTGAGGCTCGTCTGTTGCTCCTTAAATTGGTTTCTGTCCTTTTGGTTACTGCATGCCATTATATTACTTTTCCTCATTCATTTACCTTTGCCCACGCTTCTGCTGTCAGTCCAAATACACAATTTGTTGTTGCCCGTGCTATCACCTCTGTCAGACCAAGAGACACTGGATGTGGTTCTTTATTGGCTCTTAAAAATATTTCTTTATTTTATACTTTGCAATTTAAGTTGCTAACAAGTGCTGCAGCTGTCGGTCAGTTATTAACTATTAGTTGTTTGGTCTATAAAATTGCCAGAAAATGGTGAAAAATGTAAATCGGTGTTTCTCAAAGCCCAAGAAGACGTACTCAAATGTCTTGTTTTGTCCACAACCCAAAGATATGCAGCTTAACTCTCGTAGAGGAGTAAAGAAAGCAAAAAAATATTAACATTTAAGAAGCTGGAATTAGAGCATTTTCTTCAATAACTCAAACCGGTAAATCTATTTTAAAAATAGTTGCAGATTATTAAAAAGTTGACAACTAATTGTTTAATTTCTCTATTGCTGACATCATTAGTGGCTTCTGGACCTTCTCACTGTTGATCTTGAGAAGAAAATTTGTTAGTTAAAATTATGCAAAAAGTTCAGGTTATGTACTATATCTTCACTAGTGTTGGGTATTAACTGACATTTTCCAATGTTAGTGCAGATAGTACCAGTTCTAAAACGATTCTTATTTTAAACCTTACTTTGACTAATCTGACTTTTTCAACGTAGCTAAAGTTCAGTCTTTTCCCAAATTAAACATTCTGAAGGGGGCAATATTTTGTTAATTCAGAAACTATCTGATGAAAGAATTAGTTATGAGATTATGACTAGCTCCCCCCCCCCCCCCCCCCAAAACATTCACTGTCATTTCCACAATACAGATGTTTTGTTGGAGCTTGACTTGAGCTTACTCTGTGTCTGCATGGGCTGCAAGTGTTTTCTTCACATTGCTAAAGGGTTGTTAGCAGCTTTCATGTCTCAGCAGCTCTAATGCAAAAGATCTTCCAGTCAAACTTCAGCACCCATTTACAGATCAGCATTTGTTTACCCAATGTTTTTGATATTGTTTCGCATTGCTGCAGACCTGTGTATTTTTTGTTTTTACCCTCACACACGCAACAAGTCAAATATTCATTGTGAACCCACTTGTAATACTTTACTGTAGTTTTCAGTACTGAGTGACAATTCAGTGCTCAACCCTTGTGGCAGAGCAGGTGTAGGAAAAATAACTCAATCAGATTTGTTAGACGTGAACACAAGATAGAAACCTTGTTAGCAACAAGATTTACACCACTGTACCATTTATTTTATGTGTGGCAGGTAGGTGGATTAGACTCCTAAGTCTTTGAGTGAGGATGAAAGATAAAATGAAGAGAGAATCCTTTTTGGTGTGTTTGTGTTGTCTCTTCCTTACTGTGTGTTATTCTGACCACCAGGGGCAGGCCTCTGCAAAACGACAAGGAAAGTTTAAAAAGGTACTGGATGAGCTAGAAACACTGTACAACAGAGCGTCCACTGCTCTCCTATCATCAGGAAATGGCTTATTCCTTACCTTAAGATGGGATTTGTTATTTCTTCATTAATTATGTCAAAGCATGTCAATATTGCTGTATTGAAATATGCAACCTTCTAGTCATAATAGGTATTTATTTTGATATAGAGTAGTTAACATTTTCTGGTGGTCAGTAAAATTATTAATATCGACATCAGTTGACATTGAACACTACTTGTAATAACTGGGTATTAAAAAGCATTTTTCTGAACTGATTTAAAGAGGTAACCAGAAGGAGTTTGGAGTCAGGACATGACATTGGTAGGTTGAGGGTGAGAATTTGGGATGCTGATTCAGAATAGTAAAAGAGGTCATGGATATTGTTGAATGTGTCGGTTATGTATCGGGATGACTAAACAAATTTTCTTGTGTGTTCGCTCAGGATATTGTTCCAGTCATCTACCACTTAATTCCTGCTCCAAACAAAACAAAGAACGGAGGGAAGGAGAAGGACAAGGAAGGAGACAAAGAGAAAGACATGAAGGACGAGTTTGCAGAAGCTTTGAGAGACTTAAAGATTCAGTGGATGACAAAGTGCGCACAGTTAATTATCTGGTTTGACACATTGCTTGCTTTGATGTATTCTTTAAATTCTCTGATAACCATCTGTCATGGTATCTCTTTGCTGTTCAGGTTGGACTCCAGCTCCATTTATGATGAACTGAGGGAAAACTACTCAGACTACCTTCCGCTGCACGTGCAAAGACTGCACCAGCTGGACTCTGAAAAGGTAATGGCACACACCAGCAAGAGAAAGGGGAAGTGGAGGATGCTCCGATAGGATTCCAATCTCAGGAGCATTAAATTTGTTTGTGAGCAGAGATCGCTGCATAGTTTAGACTCAAACATCTGGAACAGTCATTTCTCCAATCTCCCGTTTGAGTTCAGGAGCGCGTAAAACGTCTCAGGGAGGTGATATCGGCAGCTGACATCGTCATCTCCCACATCGACCAGACGGCCTTGGCTGTTTACCTCACCATGAAGACAGACCCTCGGCCTGATGCCGCTTCTATCAAAACGTATGTAAATTACAGCAATAAGTCTTTGTGCATTTAACATTACAGAATATTGCTAGCTAACAATATTACAGTATCTACAATTACATTTTCCTTTTTTTAAATTATCCAGCATAGAACATGAGCTAATAGATAACAGTAGCAGGGTTTCCCACCCAGATCCTGACATCTCACCTCATGATCAAGTTAGTTAGGATTTGACAGCCTGTACAATAGCTAACAGCGACACTGTAACTTTTGAAAGAAGAAATAATACACCTGAATTTACTTCAATACAGTAAGTAATTGTTGGGTCTCTGTAAATAATACAGTACGGTCTAGACCTGCTCTATATGAGAAGCGTGTTGTGAATTGGTGCCATAAAAATGAATTGAATTAAGGGTTTTAGTTGTGCCTTTTAATTGGTCGTCTGGTACGACCAGTAGCTCATGGTGACTAATGTTAGCAAACTTATGATAGATGTTGCCTTGTAAGTGATAGTAGTAAGTTAGTTTGCTGATTGTGTAACTCCCCTCAACCTTTTCCCCAGTTAAACTACATTTTAGCAGTTACCTTGTGGCTACTGATCAAGGCTGGAAATTAACACCCGCCAAGCACCAAATCGCAGGTAGATTTTCCGTTGAACGTATTCGGTAAGATATCGCCATAATAATAGCTTTTTGATGGTAGCTAACAGCGGATCAGTGTTGTTTTTTGTTTTGCGTCACACTTAAATTGGTCCCCGCTGGACAATGGGATCTATAATCATGTAACACACGGATTATGGGCGTTCAGTGGTTGTTGTTTATGTTCTTTTTAGGTTGCTTGTGTTTTGATTGATGTAGATTTGTAAGGGGGTGGGCGTTTAGGGAATTGGAGTCGTGAGCAGTCAAGTCGTGCTTGGAGTACCTGGAGTGTTTTTAGATAGCTAGCTACCCTGCTGTTTCCCCCAAGCTTCTCCCGTATTTTACCATTCTCTCCCTGTATCCTCCCGTTAAAATATTTCCCCACAAATCTCCCGTTTATTTATACCCGCTGTTTTCTCCCCTCTGGTAATGCCGGTTTCGACCAAAGGAACTATACCTCGGAACTAGGAACCTTTGGAGGAACTCACTGCATTCCCACCAGAGGGACCAGGGTCTAAAAGTAGTTCTGGGGTCTTCATTTTACCCCCTAAAAAGACCCTGCTCGGGGGTAGTACTTTCCGAAAGTATTGGGTACTTTGGGGGGTGGGGCTTGCCTTGCAGTGAATTTCTGAATGGGCGAGTAGAGACAGACGTGAGTTCTGCAGCTGATCTGCTGCTCTTGTGGCTGGAAATGTTTTAATAACCTTCCAAGCTGTCGCAATTTTATTTTTGTGGTGTTTTATCTGTGCTAGAGTTATTTTAAGAACTTGATGTTTTTATCCAGTTTGTTATCCACACATGTCTTGCGGATGTCTGCCTGAGATCGTATGTCAGCATTAAATTTAAAGCTGGGAAATAGCAGCCAGCGTTCAGCGGTGTGTTTACAGCGAACAGCTGATGGAGTTACGCCAAATACTGGGTCAGAAGTTGTTGTTGTTTTGGGTTTTCATCAGTCAGGAAGCTTCTACAAGGAGACGAAATCCGTCTCCTCCTCTCCAAAACAAGCGGAACAGCTGATTACAGCAGGTAAAGCTCGTTAAACATCCCGTTCCTCTGACGCAGGCGGACACAGACATGATGCTGTTAGCTGATCTGCTGATCTCTTGTTGGCTGGAAATGTTGTAATAGCCTTCCAAATTGTTGCGATTTATTTTTGTGCTGCTTTCTCTGTGCTGGATTTATTTTAAGAACTTTATGGCTTTATCCAGTTTGTCATTAAATGTGTAACGAACTTTATTGCGTGTCTCCTCATTATAGCTCCCACACAAAAAGCTGCTATACTTTGTCATTATATTCCAGTCAAATCTGATGTTCATTTCTAAATGTTGCTCATGGATAGTGGTACAAATAATGATGCCTGTGCATCGCTGTGTACAGCCAGGCCTACAGCCTACGTCAGCTGGTTAATTTGCCTAATCTTCGCAGGTCTTTAGACCACGGTGGAAATGCACACAACAGTGGGCTGAAGGGACCTTTTAGTTCCTTGAAAATAGACCTGGGGACTTAAAAGTCCCTGGTGCTTTTGGTCGAAAAGCGCCTATGTAGAACAGCTGACAGTGACGGGAAGTCAGCGGCACACCAAATAAAACAAGAAGAAGAACAGCAGCCCAACAGTTTCAGGACAGATGATGCATTGCTAGACAGAGTATTTCACATGCATTTGCCCCTAAAATATTACATGCGAACCAGAATAATGATTTATGATGCTCTAGTATAAACTACAACCTCCAGTTATTTTTGTGCATGAATAGTTATGATTTTTTTTTGTCTTAGCATTAATAAATTAGAAACCAATGCAGACTGTTTTTCTTGCACAAGGATTAATAAATGAAAACAGCCCACAAGTAATAAAAGGCCTATAGTAGTGATATACTTTATATGAAATTATAATGAATATAGTAGCGGGGGTTCCCTTATTTTCAAATCCCGATGTTAATACATAATGTTAATGTTGGTGACATTTACCAGGTTTAGTAACCAAACCAACAACATATAAACCACTGACACAAACGAGGCTGAAGCAGAAGATAAAACAATTATTAATTGATAAGGGGGGTTTAAGTTGAATGATAAGCATTTTGTAAGTTTATAAAACAATTTACTGTTATTTCTTAAGTACATTTAATAGCAAAATAAAATAATTTTGCTTCAAATTTCAATCTGGCATATTATTTTGGCTGGTAAAAAAATATACAGATGGAATTTTTTTCATCTACCAGTCCCATTGGCAAAAGCCAAAAAGTTAATTTCCACCCCTGCCACTGGTCATCAAAAGATACATAGTCTCACTAAATATGTGGCATTCGCTGTGGAAAAACGTTCATCTACTCTCTTTCCTTAAAGCAGCACTTTTTTATTTTGTAAGTGTATTGATTTAAAAAAAAAAAAAAAAAGTGTCAGCCAATGTGGTGAGGCAGCCCACCTCTGCTAGAAAACACTTTGAGAAACCCTGACGTGTTTCAATATGTTTCAGTGACATGGAGAAGCAGAAGTCGTCTCTGCTGGACGCTCTGTGTAGGAAGGGCTGCGCTCTGGCTGACCAGCTCCTGCTGCCCCCTGCATCGCAGGACGGCGCCGTTGCTGTCACCACGGGACAAACGGCAGCAGAGGAGAATGTGGAACAGATGGCCAGCAGTTCTGATGACATCCTGCACAACGTAGCTAAAGCTCTGATGGATACATTTTGGGAGGTGCAGAAGTGGGCAGAGCTAACTGATTCCAAGGTGAGTCAAATGTTTTTAGAAAATGAAGGAAAGGCCAAAGTAGTTCCACTGTAATGGAGGACAGTGAAGTTAGCATTTACTTTTTCTAATTAGGGCTGGAACTAATGACTATTTTGATAGTCAATTAATCTTTTGATTATTGAAACGAATAATCGACTATTTGGATTATAAATCGCAAAATGACACAATGCCTCTCATTTAGCTAGTTGCCTTTTAAATTAAACCTGAGGTTGTTTTAGGCATGTGCTAATTAACAGTGAAGACGATGAAATAAATATTGCTTTCAAAAATGCATCTTTTAATGAACGTTTCTGCTGCAGCAACAGAAAGTTCCACTGAGATCACGTCCTGATAAGCAGCTGATCTGCTGTTTAGTGACAGAGCAGCTTTCACGCCAGTACTGCAACAGCGCGGGACAAACTGACAATATATACAAAGAAAGGAGTAACGTCATGCATTACATTTGCCGAATTTACAAGAGGGGATCAATAATAACGATTTTGTAGTAGACAGCGTTTGACAACATTTATATAGTTTCCCCTAACTCAACAACTCACAAAACTCCGTGATGTTTTTAAGGGACTTTGGGGCGAATTACCCGCCGCCTCACGCACAGACAGGAGAACTGTTTTCTCTTCTTTAGAAAGAATGAAATTGTCCGGTGTTGTCTAATTTTGCGCAATCGGCAGCAACACATTCTCCAGCTGGGAACGTCGCCATGATCGATGCGTTAATTATGATTGTAAAGTCGAGACACATCTGAAATGTGAACACGGCCGTTGTGTATCATAATTATGTGCTACTCACAGCACCATTACTGTAACGATCACTCAAATTGACCAACTGTATAGAAAACGTTTCAGCTCATAACGTAAAGTAACACGGCTTTAACGTGAAGCTAGCTCGCGAGTCGTCATCATCCACAGAGACGCGACGTTACGCACCTCCTCTTCAGATGCTCCAGTGTTTCCAGGATAGCTCAGCTTTGCTGCACTTCACGACCTTTCTGGCTGTCTGAAGAGTGAAATGCTGCCACACTCTGGAGGTTTTAGGTTGAAGGTGAAACTGTAGCTCTGATGTTGTTTTAGTAACGTTACTGTTCACATCACTTTACTCTGTTAAGCTGACAGTGTTGCTACGGCCCGACGACGTCATGAACGAAACCCAACGAGTTTTGTCGACTATGTCGATTAGTTGTTGCACCCCTATTTCTAAGTATTGTGTGTTAATAACCATATATGATGTTGTTCCCATCCCCTTTCCCGTGCTTTTTTTTCTCCCCTCAATTCTCCCCACAATCTTATAACATTGTATCATCAGTCATGAGGACCAAACTTGAAGGTCGTACCTAAAACAATGTGATTTCCTCTGGTTTCTCTCCTGAAAATGTGAATTTGTTGGATGTTCTGTATGTAGCCATAAAGTTAGCCACTCTATATGAATTCTATAATTGTTAAGCTAATAGAGTTTGTTTGTCTTCTGTCTTTTTCACTGTTCAGGTGTTGATGTTTTCATACAAACACGCCCTTGTGAACAAGATGTACGGACGAGCCTTAAAATATGCTTCAAAGATGGTGGAAGAGAAGCCCAGCAAAGAGAACATGAGGAACTGCATCCAGGTATGAGAGCAGTGACGGCAGATATCTGTTCAATATAATAACATATTGGCTAGATATTTTTGACTGCTAACTCTTGAAAAAGTAGAGTAGAATAATATGTGAATGAAGAATGTGGTCTGAATCCCAGCTGTGTTCCCTTGTGCTTCCTTTTTGTTTTCCAGCTTATGCGACACCTCCTGTGGACACACTGCGCCACCTTCAGTGAGAACTGGCTTCCTGTCATGTACCCTGTGGACTACACACCATTCTAGGCACACACACACACACACACACACACACACACACACACGTGCGCATGCATGAGCAGCATGGCCATACATGGTCCATTACATGGTAACTTCAATATCATGTCCCTCAGGGTCACATGGTCTATGCATCCGGTTTTTCAAAATGTAGATGTAGTTGAACACCAAAATAAAGGATAACGCTGAGTGTAAATAGTTTGATGCACTCGACACATTATAGGGTGAGGGATCAAGTTCATCCTGTCTTTTAATGTCTTGTTAAACATCACCATTGAATGCTCGAAACTCTCGCCAAGGTTTGTTGAAACTGTAGCTCAGTGCTTTCTTTGTTGGGTGTTGTCCTTTTTATTTTGGTGTCATCTACACAGTTGGAGGCGTACACATCCACCCATCTTCATCTGCCCGGACTCTATATCTTATAAATAATCTATTTCTCCTGTGTTCCCCTGTGTAAACACTGTAAAAGGGCCATTGTGGACTCCAGGGACTCATTCCCAAGTCTATTTTTTATTTTTTTTAAAGTAACTGTGACCCCTTCTACTCACTTTCAAAACATCAGAAAAACTCATAGCTGGCCATTGTGAGGATAGGAAGGACTTGCTTGGACAGAACTGTGTCTTTTTCACTTTTATTTCTTTGTTTTCTGACTGTTCCTATCAGGCCATGTTGATAAAGTTAATATTTAGTCATGTCTGTCTTTTTAGGCTCTGACTCGTGTGCACAATCTCAAAACACACAACAGTATTTAGGTGCCTTTCTACACGTACCTTACCTTTTTTCTGATGGGATGAAAAACAGTGCACGGGTTCAGTAACGTCGGTGAACACTCAGCCGCATGCGGTCATTTCACCCATCAGTCTTTGGTGTCAAATGTGGTTTTTGAAGCTCATTTCGGCAGTATGACGTGTCCGTGCACTGTATGCAGGCCGTCAGTGACTTGTCAGGAAATTGGATGCCACAAACCGACTTTCACAGCTTCTACTTACCCCCAAGAGGTGTTGGCCCCCAACTTCATACTGCTGTTACCTGAGCAGCACATTTGACCACCATCAAACAGACCTCACTGACATAACAGATGCAGTTTTGGGCAGCGGTAGGATGTTCAGATCAGAATTCATTGTAAAATGTTCACTCAGTGTTGGACGTTTCTCTGCAGCATTCAGAATGTTGCATTTGTACACAGTGTCATAAAATAATGTACATACACATAACGTAAAAATATTAAGAAGCAATAGGTATATAATACAAATATTATTCTAATTGATGTATTTTGCATATATGCATGTATTCTAGGATGTAAGGAAAAATACATAGTTTTATTCAGGAGCAGATTTTAGTTTGTCTCAATTTGGAAGATTTTTAAACCCATGAAAGATTCTGATGGTATCCAGTGTTACTTTCATGAGTGTGTGTTTGTGAATGACTTTAAGTGTACTTCTGAGCATATTTTGTGTGTATGATCATTTTCACCCAACTGAAATGATAGCATTTAGAGGGGGTTAAGCATGAGTATTGTTGTTTTTTCAGATACCTTATTTACTTTAAAGGACCATGCCAGTGGTTTTATACTTTTCTGTCTGATTTACTACAATCACACATACTTAACATCACTGCTAAACATTTTGCGTATTATGTTATTTTAGGGCACGTGGCCGATGGTTTTCTTCAAAATATAATGTCAGCAGATTTTTTACACTTTCTTGAGTTGTATAAATCCATAGTGAATACCAAGTTGGCATTAAAGGCCTTGAAAACCATATTTCTGCAGTTTTCATTATTTCCCGTGAGAGATTTCTGCTTTTGTCTGAGCTCTCAGTGGTTTGAGGTGTTTTGGGCATATTTCTGAGCACCAATGAGGATTTATCAATATTTCACTGAAAACGTGGCAACTGTTTCGGGTGTTTATGCTTATGTTGCCACTGTCAATCAAATCTGATCAAACTACACCCACACAGTCCTGATGAAGCAGATTAGCTGAGTTTTTGAATGTTAAACTCTTAATAATAATAGCTAACAATGTTTGTCCCACCAAACTAACTGATCGCTGCTTGTTTAGTGATGAACACAAAATGTCATACATCAAATTTTCAGGGGATTTCTTTAATCAGAGTTGCAAAATCGCTGCTTGGCACTGCAGATTGATTTGAGAAGTCTTCAGTGCTTTACACTCCAAAGATAATGCAGCTATGACAACAATGAATGCAGACTTGATGTTCACTGTGATGAAATACAACTTGAAAGAGTACTTCACTGATGTAGTTTTTAATGTTTTTAAGTATCACAATTGATGCAGCAGAAGCAGAGATGATCTTTTTTTTTATTCCACACAGTCTTCTTTGCAACCGCTGTTCAGAGTTTCAGGTGTGTTATGCTAGTAGAGGCTAATGTCGCCTGCTGCTAGCCTCAACCAGAGATGAGGAGCAGGCTACAGAGGTCTCACTACTTTGTAACTCCACACCCCCAGATTCTTGTGTTTTTGAACTTGTATTCTTCATCCCCATTGACTCAAATGACATCATTTGAGGACATTTATCAGATGTTATGCAGCTCCCTCTGGAGCTACAGGCCGCTATATAGAACTTTACAAATTCAGTAATTCTCCCCAAGACCTGTTAACAGATTGTGTAAAATAGGTGGAGTTTTCTTAAGTTTGAAGAGTATTTGTATTTGATGTCATATGGAAATTAATGGGAAACAATGACTGTACAGAATGGTTGCATTTGAAAAAGTAAAACTTTGCCACAATCAAGATAGCAGCTAAAACTTGTAAAAACACTGGTATGGTTCTTTTTTTTTTTTCTTTTTCTTTTCTTACCTCAGTGAATCATGTAATAAATAAGGATGCATAGCTGTTTGTGTTTGCAGTGCTAGTACAGGAGAGAACCATGTTAAAGATACAAACTATATCCACTTTATCTTTTGTGTGTCTCATCAAAAGAATGATTCCCAATGTTAAGCTGGTTTAACTGTCAAAAGAATATGAAGGTTTAAAAGTTTTACCAGAAGGGTACAAAAATGATAAAATTGGACATAATATACAATAGAAGGATTCATCCTCAAATTATCAAAACCAGTTTATATGATGGCTCTAAATGTCTGGTTTCATCTTGCCCTGATGCTGTTTTAAGTTTAAGGTGCATGCTTAACAATGTAAAAGCAGCTTTCATCCTCATCAGAGTAAATCTTTTCTGGGATGTCCGTACATGCATAGCCAATCAGTAGTCACAACTCATGTTTACCCAGGGCTAAGAACACCTCGCATTTCTGTTTTTAGCTGTGACTTGTATGCACTTTCTGCAGCAGCCTCAGCACAGGCCTCTCTGGGTGCGCAGGGATTTACTGCAGTCAGTTGGGTTTTGTTTCTGAAACAACTTGTGCTCATCTTTACTTTTTGCATCTTATTTTCTTTCTTTTCTTTCCTCTCTTCTCTTTCCTGTGTTTGGGGTTTGGTTCAGACAGATGTCACGTTCAGGGCTCAGGTGTCAGTACGCGTTGCCAATGACAGTCTCTCCGAAAATGGCCTTAACTTTCACCACAGGACTTGTACCGTCCATTTCTGGCACCAAACAGACTTCTCATATCTGTTGCTCACACTCCGCTGGTGTCAGGAAACACTTCAGAAATGCTCCTTCTGGATGTTGAGTGTTTATTTATAGTCATAAAATCTAGTAAATGCCAATATTTTACAGAATGTTATGAGATAAGGTGGTATGCTATGTATTTTATACCCATTCTTCCTCGACAACGTGGAAAAGACCCGAGTTACCCGAGTCACGCTATTTTGTGGTCACATGGAATTAAGTCACAAACAAAGAAAACGACACTGAATAAAAATAATTTGGAAGAATAAAGTGTTCCCTGGTCGTCACTTTTACATATAGAACAAATGAGATTTTCAGCAACGGTCTCCTCCGGGAGTTTCAAACTGTCTGATAATGCATCAAAATTAGAGAAGCTGTTTTGTTAATATGAATTATACAATTTTACTATTTGCGTTACCCTCTACGTTTGAAGTTACTGTTCAAGAGTTTGTCCAGAAATAACAAAGTAACCCACAAGAAGATGTAATGAGATAAAGGTGTTTTTTGTTTTTTTTTATGTATTCATAGAAATGTAAAAAGAAACGTACAGTTCACATGCCAAAATAACTGATCCAGACACACCGAAAAAGGGCCTCAACTAACTATTATTTTCTTTCAGTCCATCTCCAGATTTTCCCAATTCATTAAATTTTAATTAAGTTTTTCCTTTAAAATGTCAAAGTGAAGTGTCCCACAGCCCAGCATAACATATTGAAATTGCTTGTTTTGTCCCAAAACATTCCAAACTCTAAAGATATTTGGGTTGCTATCATATATGACAAAGAAAAGCATTAAAACCTCACCTTTGCTGGAAGCTGGAACCACCAAATGTTTTGGCATTCTTGAAAAATTACTAAAATTGCACTGTCAGTCAATGAATCGACTAATTGTTTCACGTCCAGACTGAGATAATTGATGTGATTCTAATGAACTAATCTTGAACCTTTGTGTAGCACAGGTTTGACCTTTTCAGGCTAACTATTGAGGGCAACTTTTGGAGCAAGACTTAAATACAGGATTTTAAAATACAACAAAATGCCTGTGTAGGGTGTAAGTGAAAGTATGATACATATTGGCATATTATGTTTGAAATCTTTACGTACATGAACTGTTGTGAACCACACCCTCTTCTCATGGACAAATCGGCCCCTAGGTGCTCACTGTTAAAAGGCCCTCCTTTCTACGTAGCAGCAACTGAACCCACTAGACCACCAATGGACAGAAATGTGACTGTTTGGCATCAAAATTATATTTTCCAGGTTAATCATAACATTTTGTTATGTAGAAAACTTAAATATTGTACCTGAAATGAAAGTATTTTGTTCTTGCTGGATATGAAGAGAGGCTGTGTAAACCTGCACCCCAACTTCATACCACTGCAGGTTCAAACTAACATTCTTTTCTACTGATATTAGATATAAGTAAAGTAAAAACATTTTTAAAACTGCCTCATCAAAGAAAACATTTGATTCAGGTAGACTTTTCTTAAAGCTGAGCTATTCTACTGTCAAACATTTAAATTGCTTAACTAATTTTACTAATTTTACTGTAGCTGAAAAATGTACTGCACTGCTGTATTAAATTTGAACAAAAAACAAAAAGATATCCTACTGGCACATACTCTAAATAACTTAAATGACTTGGATTGGGATTAGGAGCAAAAACAAGTGATGGTAGGGATGAATAATCTTGACTTCCCAAAGAGTAACATTAATTCCCAACAGTCACTTTAAGCAGAGGCTCTGACTTAGGGGGGCCCGGGGCCTGTACCCAGTAGGGCCGTTGAGTAACCCATTCATATCTTTTCTGCCGCTCACTCTCTACTTGTTGCCATGAAGATCTTCATCGCTTCATCTTCAAGCAGCAGGTTTGTGTGAAAAGCCTTTTTAAAGTTCTCCGTGAATGTCAGATCAGACTCAAACCGGACCTTGTTGGCCCAGATCACAGTTGTTCCTGGTTTGCAGAAATGCTTCATGGTGAACAGGAGCTCTTCCAGGAAGTCGTGATGGTAGACCACATCGGCTGCCAGCACGTAATCGTAGTGATGCACAGATGCAGGGTAGGTGTTCTCCAGGTCGTAGCCCCAGGTGAGAGCTCCCACCTGGGGCGTGTGCCTGCATCTCCCCCTGGTGTTCCTCGTCACATTGGCCCGGAGGTTACCCAACACCTCGGGTAAGTCTGTAGCTGTGACTGAAGCTCCTGAGAATGCAGAAACAGGACATCTGTCATGATCATAGCCACGAGAACAGTAAAAAGACCACACTGGTGACTCTAGTTAAGGTGGACCAATTATGCTCTTTTCCAGCTCTATATTTTATCTACTTTAATAAGTTATTTTTATTTAATATAGTATACTATATAATATTTTTAATAAACCTTATTTATCTTACACCGGCCTTTTATGCAACCCTTAAGTAGTTTTAGCTCCTGTCTCTGTAAGGCCCCCCTCCATAAAAACTCGTTTTTTTCTGATTGGCCAACTTCCTGGAAGCCTGATAATTTTACCAAAAAATTATTTGTTATTAAATGAAATATGGTATCTGTATAATTATTACCCTAGTTAAACAAACATAGAAAGGTCTTTGTTTCTTCTTGACTGAATTTTCAATTTTTTTAGAAGAATGAACCAAGTGCCAGACTCTCCGACATGCATGACTGATCATCCAGGCTCCAGGTTTATTGCATACCCCCTACCTAATATCAACAATATCTATCGAGCAGACTATGGACCTCTTACGAGGATAATGTATGGAATACAGAAAATGCAGCCATACAGTGATTACTTTCTGTAATGATGATGTGTTCTCTCTCTTTCAGACAGGCAGGCATTCAGACATTACAGGTTTTTATTCTATTTTATGTATATTTTATATTTACTTTAACTTTACATGTATTTTACTCTCTTAAGTGTTTTCTTGCTTTTATCATGTATTTGTTTTTATGTTTTATTGACTTTACAGTTGTTAAAGCACAGGTACCTTGCTTACTGCAGTTTTATAAGTTGGTGTTGGGGATACCTTGGAAGACAGGTCAGGTTTGTCATCACATTGGCTGTTGTTGACCGTGTGCAGCCAGTACTTTCCCAATCCTGCTGGCAACTATGTTAGGTTCTGGCCATCCCTGACCACTAGTTTCTGTCCTGAGTTACTGTAATGTTCTTTGTGTTTTGTGTCAGAGTCTGTGTATCATGTCATGGGGACTTATTCCAAACTCTTTCCCTGTTTGACTGATCGTGATGTTTGTGTCGGGCGCTTATTTATATGTTGTCTGAATTGAATTGAAGACCGCTCACCCAGCAGACTGGCCACAATGGTTACCAGTCCTGTTCCTGCTCCCAGCTCCAGCACCTCCTTTTCCTGCAGGTTCACCATCTCCCTGTTGTTGTCCAGAAAGGAGCACAGAGCCACCGCCTGCAGGACAAACAGACACAGGCCTCTTACTACTGGTGTGGAACTGAAAATACTAGCTAGAATCAACATTTTCTGTTTCTTTATGCAAAATGTCTATAATCGGCAATGTTGTATTTATTTAATGTTGTCAGAGGAACTCACTCCTGGCCACATCACTGCTCCATAGGAGTCTATGGACTCATGAATGACAATATCCTGCCCTACGAAGTGGTATATATCTTTACCAATGCTCATGCTAATGCAGCCTGGTGTTCTGCCCTGCGGCATAGCTGGTTGATTGATGTATGCCTGTCCTGTGAAGAGAGGATGGGTCGAAACTTTAAACAGAGGTAAAACAATAAAGACACTGTAAAATACACACTGACACAACATTAACATTAAAAAGAAAAGATGATAGATCCAATACAAAGACGCACATCAGTGCACACTGACAGACACAAGACATTACACTATTTTTTATTTGTACCAAATAACATCACTGCAATGACAAAAAATTAGTCCTTGCTTCTCCTCCGTATAAGTTCAGACTCTCAACACCAGTAGACGAGTGCATCAGCCCCCTGGTTTCACTGAGGACAGTTGATAATAGTTTTGGCCTCACCACCTTTTGGTTTTTGGTCTCACATCTCAGATTTTATTCTTGCCACGAATCTTGCCAGACACATTAAAGTCCCAACACTGTTTTTTAAATTAAGTGTAAGCTGCCAAACCACAAGACGGGGCTCGTTGTTGAGACGGACAGAATTAAAAACCAAAGAGAAACAGACTCTGTACTGTCTTATACTCTGTATTTGTGGATTTTTATACCATAAGCGAACAAAAAACACATACTAAAGCATACTAAAAGGTTGGTTCATCTAAATGTATTTTCTCAATTGCTGTGGTGACTTTCTTGGTGTCTAGATAGTTTTGGTTCTATTTGCGCAAGGTTTGTGATATCGGTCTTTTTGTCTGTTTGGATGAGTGGGATTTTGTTTGTGGTGCTCACAGTGCTGATTATATTTAAAACAAGACTAACTAGTCTACAGTCATGCTAACAGCTCAGTGAGACTTAGTCACAGTGTTGCTTTGAGCTAATTGCTAACGACATCATGGGAACATGGCCACAATAGCTGAGGTAGATGGGAATGTCATCAGTTTTGCATGTGCAGATTAATAAGTGTTGCTCAAAGCAAAAAATACCTGATGATGAGGCTACATAAAAAGTTTTTACCAATGTGATTACAATTCATCCAGAGGGGCACATTAACAAAAAACACACACTGTCATGTTGTTGAGATCATACACTGTTTAGAGTCACAGTGTGGACCAAAGTGGAGGATCAACAGACTGCTATGCAATAGAGCCACATCATTAGCATGGCTACAAATTCAGTAGTAGATCACTATCTCTATCCTGAATCAGTTTCTTTGTTATTCTAATAAAGCCACAGTTTTCGTTAGATTTACTTTGCACTGAAGAAATGGTGCCTATAAGGTCGAGGTGGCAGCAGATATCTCAAAACTTGAGCAAATAAAAAACCTCTCTGAACTGATTCTTTAAACTGAAGAAAATATGACTTTGATGTCTAACTCCTATAATACTTTTGATACATGTGTTTATACACTAACGTGTCTTTTCTTAGATCCCGTAGATTACTCACCTGTAACCTCTGCTTTACTGGGTGTGGTGCTACTACTTGAATCATCTGGTTTATCCTTCTCATCCTCTTTACAGTCATCATCTTTGAGGACCATTACCTCCTCCATCTCTTCATCAGACTCATGCTTGTTTGTTTCTTCCTTATCATCCCCTCTTTCAGGCTCTGACATGTGAGGTTCCCCTGTTACATCGTTATCATTTTTGTTTCCTTTAATCTTTCCTTCATCGACAAATTGTTCCTCCACAAGCGCTTCTTTGCTCTTCTCACCGTCATCGTCATCATCATCCTCATCTACATCCCCATCCTCATCCTCAGCCTCGGCCTCCTCCGTCTTTCCTTCCTCCTCCTCTCTCAGCAGATCTTCCAGCCCCACATCACCTTCTCCTTCTTCTTCTCTACATGTTGCCATGAAGATCTTCATCTCTCCATCTTCAACCAGCAGGTTTGTGTGAAAAGCCTTTTTAAAGTTCTCCATGAATGTCAGATCAGACTCAAACCGGACCTTGTTGGCCCAGATCAAAGTCGTTCCTGGTTTGCAGAAATGCTTCATGGTGAACAGGAGCTCTTCCAGGAAGTCGTGACAGTAGACCACATCGGCTGCCAGCACGTAATCGTAGCGGTATACAGATGTAGGGTAGGTGCTCTCCAGGTCGTAGCCCCAGGTGAGAGCTGCCACCTGGGGTGTGTGTCTGCAGAGGCCCCTGGTGTTCCTGGACAGGTTGACCCTCAGGTTGTTCAGGACCACTGGAAGATCTGTGGCTGTCACCCAGCCACCTGAGGACAGTAAGGAAAATCGTTAAAAAATTTCAAATCTTTTTCAGAAAAATATCCTTCCAGGTTCATGGTTTCTCTTACACATGCTGACCTATTGATACACTGATACACAAAATTCTTACACTAGCACAGCCATTATGGTCCATCTTTTGCCCAGTCCAGTCCTGTCCAGTACATGTGCTCACTTAAGCACACCTGTGCACACCACAGCCACTTCATTTTTGGTACTTTTTAATTTACTGCCCTACCTTTCCCAACCCAACTTTCTTTTCCTGTGCAAATGGCAAATGAAGTTGAACTCTCTTACCAAGGAACGCTGCTACAATAGATACGAGGCCAGTTCCTGCCCCAATCTCCAGGACTGCCTTGTCCACAAGACTCAACTGTTCACGATGAGTGTCCAGGTAGTGACAGAGAGCCAGAGCCTGAGGGCAATCAAGATGACTTTGAGTTACAGAGAGGCACAAGTGTTTCAGAATTTGGGGCTCTTGAAGCTTCACTGGAGCAGGTTAAACATGGGCCAGAGCAGTAAAAATTAGATGTAAAATGGCAGGTGTAATGGTGGACAAGGTACTGCAAGTCATATTGTGGCAAATAAGACAGCAAATCTCAAAAAAGGTGCTTCTCACCCCCGGCCATATCATGCCTGCATAGGAGTCAAGACCTTCCGTGATCACGATCTCCTGCCCGACATAATAGTGCACCTCTTTAGTCGCTCTACAGAAGAACCACGGAGCCCAGGGTGAGCTTTGTTGCTTCTGGACGGCTAATTCAACTGCATGATACAAAAGTCAGATGCTCAGATCTCTTTGGTTTTTAATGAACATAAAACCCATCTCTCCTTAACGTGAATTTTGAAATTTTACTTCCTGCTTTGTGTTGCATAGTAACTCTTGCCTTTTTCCTCCTTTTTATCTTCTTCATCCCCATCAGCCTCCCCATCTTCCTCATCTCCCCCTTCATCTTCCTCCTCGTCTTCCTCTCCGCTTCTCATATAACTGGTTTCCTCCACAACGTGTGTGGATGAAGTATCCATATAAAATCCTGTGTACTGATGGACAGACGGATATAATCAGTTATTGAGCCTCAATTTAACTTTAGTTAGTGTAATAACGTTCTGTTTCTTTCTTAATCTTCCTTTTATGGTTTTTGATAGGCTTTGTTTCTCTTAACTTAGTTATCCTTCAGTGTGTCAATATACATTGCATACAAGATTTTCTAATCTGATTGTTTTTAATATTTAGCTTACTTATATATGCTACTATTATCTTATCCTTTCTCACCATAATTTTGTTGTGTTTATATAATTATTTATTTTCTTTTAACTCTGACTGCAGTCCTACAGTCTAGCCATTCAAATAATGCCAAACAAGTCTGGGAGAATACATAATAAGATTATTATGATAAAGATTATTTTACATAGGAGACACTTTTCCAAACCCTAACATATTATCCAAATTATTGTTTAAAAAAGGTTATCTCTACAAGTACTATAATGAAAACCCTACCTGTGAACTTTGGCCTGCCTGCTGCTGCTTTATTCTTCAGTGAAAGATCTCAGGAGCAATCTGACTGCATCTGGAGACCTCTGAGTGCAAGGTTATAGAGACTCAGCATCCTGCTGAACACACCCATCATCATCACAAGGGCATGAGGGTATTTTTAGAGCCATGCTCGGGAGAAAAAAACCCACAAGCAAGATATAGGAGCAGAGCGCACGTAGATACAAACACACAGACGAAGATGACTTAGTGAGAGAGCCAAAAGGAGAAAATGAACTACAGGAATGTCATGCTACCAACTGCCACGGATCTGTGATACCAGTGTCGCTTATGGACTTCTATACTGGTGCTATCTAGAAGCTCTACAGTCTGTAACCTCATACTGGATATAATATGAACACACATAATGTGAAGAAATACTGAAACCTGTAAAAACTGGGTTTTGGACTAACTCTACTGAATGATTTCAAGCTGCAATGGTTAATAACATTTTATGATTTGGACCTTGGGTTCAAACCCGTCCAGATATTGCACATTACACTACATTAGTTTTATTTAGTAGTCTACAAATAGCCACAAGGGGATAAGCCCTCTGAAAACGAGGCCAATAGGTGATTTGTGTTTGGCTTGGAAGCATCTTTACAGAGCCCTTGAATGTTTGCGTTGTCACCAAAACATTTGAAACCTCTAAAACTAAAGTTGGTGTTGCTTCCTCTGCAATACTTTTATCAGACAAAGATGACTGAAGATGAAAGGAGGTCTTATCACGCCAAAGTCTATGTAAAAAATGATGCATGATGTAGTCTGGAACGTGTCCATGTTGTTGTGCTTACTTGTTTGCTTTTCCTGCAATGGCCTCAATTGCCTCACCAGAGACGGAAGGCAACAGGATCAGACTGCTATGCAATCCCCATGTTATCAACCCCCCTCAGAAAAGAAGGGGGCTCCTGTAATATAAACCTCAGTTAGACCTCCCTCAGTTGCATTTGACCAGCCGTTGACCATGAAGTATCGCCTCCCCAGTTTCAGGTATCAGCGATCTAAATCCACTCACATCCCAAAACTTGAAATCCATCCAGCGCCTCTTGATGGGCTGACACATTAATGGGGAGTGCACAGTGGTGAGGTCATTGCCCAACTGTGTTGTTGATGTGGTGCCTTGGATAAAAGATGTTTTTAAGCTTGATGACAGGCAGCATCTGTCTCCCAGTGAAAGGTTGATTGTTATCAATTGACATCTTTACATGGCCGCAGACAGTTTTCAGCTGTTGAGTATTTGTTTGTCTTGACAATAATGCGCGGCGCTTCACCACCACCAGCTTAGATAACCTCTCTGCTAACCTCTCTGCTCCTCTTCAATCCAGCTCTTCACCAACTGTGTTTCTGCAGCCAAAAAACACACACCCATCTCACGGGCAAAAAGACAAGGAATGACGGGGGATTTGGAATCATAAGTTAGATATCAGATTTTATAGGTCACATTTAAAAGCAGGTGGCTCTAACTTGATCTTTCCATCTGGTGAGTTTCCAAAAACTTGCAAATTTGTGTGTGACACGTTGGTGTTCATGTTACTGAAGCAACACACACTGCCCAATATGGATGTAGTCTTTATTTTGACCTCAAAGTGTTTTGCTGGTGAAATATGAATCAAGAAAGTCTAATCTAGGCGTAAACATAAAAAACACATTTCATGTATGTTACAAAAAATCTATTTATTGAATTTGTTGGATTTGCTAATTGCTGGTTTGGCTAATGGAAGATGTTTTCAACGCTGATTTTTAAATGTGCAGTGTGATTATGTTCATACAGAGGTGAACTTGATCATGAAAATTGATTTCCAGCTGTACTGTAGGCATATATGATATTATGAAAAGAGAAGACCTCATACCATTAGCATTTATGGGGTTTTCATGCATGGCACATCATGCATTTTTTTAATTTAACAATAACATTGTTATGCTTTTATATAATGTTACTTTCCCAACTATAAAATGCGATTAATTTAATTGTTTAATAAAAACTGTCAGTTTTATTTTGATGTTTGGAAGTTACTATATGCATAACGTTTATAGAGAAATTATTATTTACACATCCAACAGTTACAGAGCAAAAGTATTATATTTCTGACCACTCTCTTTTAGCTCTGTTAGCACTGGAAATACCAGTCTCTTTAGCTGCTAAATGCTCCACTATGTTCACCAGCTAGTTGCTTATTGTGTCTGAATGCAATTTAGTACAAAGCAAGTAATGTATGAGGGTTTTTAGAGCTTTCCAGCTGAAAAAGACACTATGAGAGCGGTGAGAGTAAACCAAAACAGTTCATTTGTTGGCCGAACAGCTAAACAATGAGCTGAAACTTGCGACAAAGCTCTGTAAAGTCAAGGGGGGCTGCAGATTTAGGTGGGAATTCACTGTAGGTGTATCTAATATACATTATAGCCGCGTTTACATCACAAAACAAAATTATTGATGATTGCAAAACAGAGATGTTGCAGTTCATCCTCTGCACATTCCAGGACATCTCAGTCTTCGCTTTCCAGGCTTTTCAACCTGATCAGGTTCAGACTCAAGGCATTCATGGTCCCCAGAGGATTCATATTAAGAGAACCAGCTGTGACGTTTGCCACATTACAGGCAATCTATTCAAATGTTATTAAAATACAAAAAAATAGTCATATGCTTCTCCAGTCTGTCGATTTCAACAGCGACAAAACCTGATCAGTTTGTCCATGTGAAGTCACACAGCAACAGACCTCCTAAATAAAACAAGGTCATCAGAAAGCCACTTGAAAAGTCCAGAGCTATGTTGGCCCAGATCGTCAGTGCTGTGAGCTGACTGGACCAAAACAACATAGTCTGCCAAATCAGTCTCAAGTGTGACAGCGTGCTGCTGATGACAACCACAGTCTCCATAGGTGGTTCTTGGCCTTATGAAGAATCCAAAATGTCCACTTACTAAATGCCCATATGAAAAAAAAATGAATGTTTATTTAAGTTCACCTATATGAAATGCAAAGCAACTGTCCTGCAATAAATGGTATTGCATTATATTGAAATGTTTCTAGTAGACACCAGTAAATACTGTAAATAATAACATTAACAGTAAAAACATGGATCACAACTTGATATTGTGACTGGCATTTTAAACTATTAACATCATAAAGTCTCATGTATAAGAGACATTAAGACATTTGTACATGAGATCCATGAAAAACAGACCATTCAGCAAAACAATATACAAATTTGGCCTATTTTGTCAATCACAGAGAAGCTCACACAATGAAAATGCATTGTGTGTTCTCTGTCTGTTCAGGCAGCAGCCTCTCCTTGGTCATTGGTGCCCTTGTCCTTCCTCCAGGCTCGGTACAGTTTGATACTCAGACTGGGGAGGTCATACAGCTCCTCCAGGTGAAAGCGCTGCCGAAAGCGATCAACAAAGCTGTTCTCTGGGTCCAGACGAAATCGCATGGCCCACAGGATCTGTGTGTTTTCCTGGCACAGGTGGTCAAAGGTGTCCATAAGCTCCTCCAGGTAAGGATGAGCGTACACCACGTCAGCTGCCAGGACGTAGTCGAAACAATGTGTGGCACGTGGGAAACGCTGCTCCACCTCCTTTCCCCAGACAAGCTCTGTGACCTTTAAACAGAGATTATATGGAGTTGAATTATACAGTATTAAACCTATATATTCTATTAATTAATTTTTTAAAAGGAAACTTCTACTTTTGCATACTCTTAGGGTGTTATATCATCAAGGGAATGACAGTAGAGTGGACATTTGGTGCATAACCCAAACATACACCAAGACACCACATGAAAAACACAATGCAACATATATTTCTCATGGTTGTTTTGTCAATAGGTTGGAGTTTTGAATAAATCGGAATATTTTTTATAGGTTATCAAACCGACAGTATGAAATCTATATTGAAACATACCAAAGGGATGTACTTGCATCGGCCCTTGGTGTTGCGCATAACATTATACTGGAGGTTCCCCAACACATCTGGTAGGTCAGTGGAGGTCACCTTAGCACCTGAAGAGTGACAGCACAGCTCAGTGTTGAAGTGAATGAGATAAACAACAACAACAGAGAGAGACAAAAAATCAAAGATGAAGTCTGAACAAGTTCAAACTACCAGAACTAATCACTAGTATGTTTTGTTTCTGTACCTAACAGGCTGGATACGATGGTGACGAGCCCAGTTCCAGCACCCAGTTCAATCACATTTTTGTCTGTCAGGTTGTGTTTGTCTCGGTTGGTCTCCAAGAAATGACACAACACCATTGCCTGTTGGGGGATACTAATGTATAGTTCACGGACATGGCTCAAAATAAAGAGGATGTACAGCCGCTAAATATTGGGATAATGTCCATGTGTGGGCATACCGAGGGCCAGAGTACAGCTCCGTAGACGTCTGTGGATTCTTTGATACGGATTTCCACATCAGAAAAGACGTATCCCTCCCAGGGCTCGGGGCCAATGAGAGAAGGGTGGAAACACCGAGCCATTATGGCTTTGGCTAGCTCCGCATCCACAGCGGCACCTGCTTTAGCATCCGCAGCAGAAACAGGTATTGTATTTTAAAAACAACATGTTTATACAGAGCTTTACTAAAACCAAAGTTTACAAAGTGTCATACTGTATAGTGTTAGTGAGAGAGGAAAATGCACTTACAATACCCAGAAGTACCAATGTTGTTTAATGTGTCTCACTGGCATCATTTACTGGTACACTTAAATACCATGGAGCTGAAATTAATGTTATTAGTTGCACCTGTGCTTTTCCTGCTATGAAGAGTCAAACTTTCTGCTGTAAAAAGGTTTACACTGCTATCTTAAATCTGAATGGTATACTAATATAATGGCTAATGCCACCAAGTAAGAAACTAATCACATAACCACATCACCTAAAAGAGGCATGGAAATATTCTAGCCTTAAATCAAGCAGATGAGCAATCATGTTATTTCTCTTTCATATCCCATTACATGCAACATTTGATTCTCTGCTCTATAAACGAATCATAATGCCCTTCTGATCCTGCTTTGATCATGCCGGTTTGTTGGACTCCAGCTATGTGTCAGTGCTAAAGGTTACTCAGAGCACCTGACACATAACTTCAGTTATATACAGTGGTTTAGAGAAAAGGTCAGGGGAATGCAAAGATTCAGTAGTTGCTCAGGAGCTCAATTTATATCTTTTGTTTGTGTATAAATATGTTTGTCATAAACAGATTAGACATTTCAATTAAAGTATCTTACAAACTCTTACATTAGATTCATTCTGTTTTCTGGGGATTTCAATCTAACTATGCCTACATAACAATTTGTAAAAAAAAGACTGTGCCATACTGCCAGCACTAATTACCGTCACAGAAATTACAAAGAAAAATCTTTGGTTTGTCGTGTGGTGAATTACTCCACATTCTCACCTTCTTCTTTGGTGGTGGAGTCGTCCATGGCCTCGAACTGTTGAGGATATCTGAAGGAGTCCAAGCACGAGGGTAAGAATGCCCAAAACAGATGATCTATGGCATCCAACTGCCGTTGTTAGTTTGTGGTCCCAGATGAAGTCCTTTGGATTTGGATCAATCTGGATCCAGATCTCTAGCAGGCTTTTAACTGTGGCCTTCTGTGGTTTTAAGTTACACACAAATACAGTGTTTCTCCAACTGCTTGTCCAACTGCCCTACTGCGATCCTCAGCTCCAGCCCATACTTCTAGCTCTGCGTGGGAAGGATTACGGACAGACAGCAACAGCTGCCCTGGCCGACTACTGGGTTAGAGCTGAGGAGTGAAGAGAAGGAGTAATGTCTCCTCAATTTGACTAACGCGTTAAAATATAACTTGATGCAAGTGATAGAAACTTTAGGTATTAATTCAACACCACCAAAAAATAAAAAATGAATTCACATGTGCAAAAGCCTCTCAGTTTGTGTGTGTTCGAGGCTGTAGGACGAGGAGGGGGAGTATGTGTAGAAGCAGATGGCGACTTAAATACAGCCTGAAAGATATTTAAGGGATGTTTGGAGCTGAGGACTTGCACCAGTCTCACTGATGTCTACTGTGGAAATACTTCAACTTCAAACAAATGTACCTCAAAAATGTAAGGCTAAACATTGTCATTCCTCTCAAAGATATACCTCTAAACAAGTAAAACACATGTTCAGTCACATCAATAGTACAAACATATATTTTACAATACAGAAAAAGCTCAGTTCATCACTGCTGAGTTCATGATTCATTCACATATTGACCTTGTTAAGCAGGAGATGCTATTTGGGAGTGTGTGACATGTTTCATGCTTCATATTACAACTGCTTTGACAATTCATGTTAATTTTCAAGTTAACTTTTTCCCTCCAGACTTCTTCCCCCTTCCCTTTCCTCTCATGCTTCCTCTCCTTCTTGTGCCTCGGCGGCTGCCATCGAACACAGATCGTGCTGTAACCATAGCAACTTCAACACCAACATCGCTGTCCTCACATGAGCTGCTGCTGCTGCTTCTCCTCGCCCTCTGAGTCTTAGCAGAGTGAGGGACGGCTTTTACTGAGAGGGACTCCTGGCTGGTGCTGCTCACATCTTTCAGAGATGGAAGAGGAGGTTCAACAGTTACCTTCGACCCTAGAAACCCTCCTCCTGCCGCAGACCTCTGCTCTTCTCTCTCTCCTTTCTCCGGACTCTTGCTGGCTGCCTTCCCTTTCTTAGATTTGGATGGGGATGGCATTTCCTCCTCACTGTCCTCATCTCCTTCTTCTCTTTCCTTTCTCTTCATACATGTGACTGCTCGGCGGAGTCGCTGGCTACGGATCGCCTGCTTTTCCTGTTGCTCCATGCGGAAGAATGAGTCGATCCGCAGCTGAGTCTACATCAAAACAGTGAGAGATGAGGTAGAAATGTTTTAAAACTGCAAAGTGGTTTTATTTCATCCACTAAATCAAATTACACAATCAAACTCTATTTAATCTGTCTATTCATACTTTTAGCTAACTATTTCAACTGTTTATTCATACTTTTGTTAAAGTTTACTTCAACTACTTATCCATTCATTTTAGCAAACAACTTCAACTGTTTATTCATAATTTAAGCTAACTATTTAAAAATGGTTTATCCAATACTTTTAGCTAACAATTACAACGTATCTGCCCACTTGTTAATTCAGTTACAACATGTGCTGATGGGCATCTTAATGTTACTGGTCATTGTAAATATAATAAAAATGAGCGTAACACCAACTTGAAATCCTATTTCTTGGTTTATATTCTTTACTCCCTTATTTAGGGAGCTTCACTGAGAGCAACCTCTCATTTGCCCTGATCGCAATCACACCACCTGGCTCAAGAGCACCTCAGTGGTGGTAAATGAGGGAGGCAAGCACTTTTAGTTATACTTTCAACCTTTGGGCCACCACTCTCCGGGAATATGTGGTTTTATTATTATTTTTTTATTAAATCTTTATTTAAATTTTTTGTTGAATTTAGTTGAGTTAATTAGATGAGCTTTCCCCTTGCAATTAACTGCACAAGTGACCCTGGTTGGGTATCACTGGTTGGGAATTGACTCAGTTACCTGCTGGGTGTTCAGCTGCTTGATCACAGGCTGAAGGGTCTCCTCTGTCTTTTGACTGCTCCAGCCAAAACGACTCAGACAGAATGTAGAAGACTAGGTTAAGGAAACTTCAGCAGTCGTCTCATGTGTTCTCGCGCAGTCTTCACTCGGTAAAAAAAAAAAAACAGGTAGACAAACCTTTACTTACGTCACAAGTCGTGGTGGATATTTTACGCACGGACGAGGGAAAGCAGCAGTGAACACACAGGGTGCAGATGTTGGTTTCAGTTGTTTCATAGGCTACATCATTAATAAGCCAACGTGCGGCTCACCTGCTGCCGTGATAACGGATCACGGGAGGAAACATACGGAAAAAAGATGAGTTCTCAGTCTTTTAGGTGACTTTATAAAACATACTGCTGACGGAGAAAATGGAGCAGAGGGGGGCGAGATAGACAGAGAGAGGCGGGGCAAGCCGGGGTGTTTACCTGAGGTGTGTGTGAGTGTGTCAGAGTGTGGGGAGAAGAGAATTCCGAGGCAGGTGCAAAGCATAGGCTACTTAAAAACAATGATAAGAATGTTTGTGGTCATTAAAACCTGCCTAATGCACGCCCGGACACATCTACACATCTACAAAGGATATTCTTTAATCATGTCGAGTTGTGGGCGTCCCCAGCTGAAGAAGCTGTCTGACTGGTCCACAGCAGGTTGCAGGTAAGCCTGAGCCACCACAGGGTTGGGGAACCCAGGGTGCAGCTTTAGGTCCTTCAATTTCTTCTTAACCTTCGTGTCCCGAGGATCAGCCACCAGACGCTTTTTCTCCTGAGCCTCTGACCACCATTTACTAGAGAGAAAAAATAATGTCCAAAACACAAATGATTGGGGTTATAATACATTCATTGTAAATGCTAAAGCAAAAAGTACTGTATACTTTAAAATTACCCTAAAATAATTAAGATAATATTGTATTAATTAGGGATTTTGGCTATGATAGTTACTTTATAATATTAGCACATGCCTGAGCTGTATATTGACTCGACATGTATTCAATTCAGTTAAAAAACAGGCAAATATAAACCATCTAATTCATTTAGAAATTTAAACAATCTTAGCAAATGATTAATACATTTTGTCCTGGATTTGATGGTAACAATAGAGAGAGACTGGAGGGATTAAGCATGAAAGGCGTTGAGCAAAACACTCAAGGACTCAATCTCCTGGTCTAATTAACCCAAATACTGAAACACACACACACACACACACACACACCTGAACTGTATCAGTGGCTCCATGCCCGGCCCTGGGAACTCATTCAGAATCTCCATGCCAGTCACATATCCGACGCCCGGCACACCTTCTGTATAGTCACTTCCAAGCAGGTAAGCCAAGTTTATCAGTTTAGTCCTGTCCAAACCTGAGAGAGAGAGAGATGGACGGAGAACAGAAAATTAAAAGAAGAGTGTGGGAAAAGAAGGAAAAGTATACCCTTGTGCTCTCTGTCTGGTCACTCTGCTGACAGCCCATTAGTCATCACCGACACAAACACCTGTCTGTGATATGTGCAATATGAACTTATCAGATTAGCACGGTAATCTGTTGTAGCACACTTTCAACACCTAACTCTATAAAACCTTTTCTGGACCTGCTGACACAGACATGATCATGCAGAGCACTGACCCAGTTGGTTCTGCATGTCACTGTACTGGTAGTGTTCAACATATTTGTTTTGGCTGAAGAAGTTCTTGTAGACGTGTCGCCCTCCAAACAGCCACACATCTGAGTCGTCTGTGATGGTGCCGTGTGTGTGGTCGGCGCGGTCCAGTGCTGCACACTGAGCCTCAGCCTCCATCGGCGCCACCAGGAACGGCACGCCAAACAGTCGCAGCAGCTCCTGGTATCAAAGAGGAAAACAGTAATTACAAAAAAAACCCTATAAACATGTGTTATTGTTCTTCTGGTATCTTGATAACTACTGACACTATTTGCAAAGTTTTTAAATATTTTTTGGACTGTGATCTTAGAACAATAATCTTTTGATCTCAACATGCATCTGGGATTATGTGCATGTTTCTGTAGTCATCTGAGAAATACCTTTGCTCTTAGCACCACTATCAGAGCAGCCAAGGGGATTAATGAAGATCAGGCACCAAGATGTTTTTCATTAAGTGGTGATTTTATGAAGAAGAAAATGCTGACAGCCTGTGACTTTTAAAAGTGTGAGTGACTTGATAGTTGCATGGCTCTGGGAATGTTTGGCAGAGACACCGCAAAGAAATGTATCCCACAGTCGCTCTTACACCTTCTCTGGGTTGTCATATCATAAGGATAGGTGTGAGGGTCGAATGCCGGTGTGGTTTATGTGCTGACGTGATATTGTGATATAAGTGTCTGTGGTCCACCTGGCTCTCCAGGTACATCTGTCCGGTGACTGTGTTCGCCATCCTCTCCTGCTGCTGTTTCAGCTCCCTCAGGCTGCTCTGCTCCATCTGTAGAGAGCTCTCCAAAGCCTCCAGCTCATCCTGCGCACGCGCACGCGCGCACACACACACACACACACACACACACACACACACACACACATACCAGCCCTTGTCTCAAACATATCACAGCCGAGCCTCAAGCACAGCTGACCAGCTCAAACATATCATTCCAATAAAACATCCGTTGTTCTGCTTTGCCATGCTACAGCCCCATGCAGTGTTAAGTGAATGGTAAGTCAAAATAGCAGCATCTGTGTATGTAGCCTCTATTTTGGCTTATAAAGACATCTAAGTGACATAACAAGTAGAGCTAGACTAATTTTATCTTATAGCAGATGTATCTAATGTATGTATGTGTATAAGTTGACCAATAAATAACAAGGAATTGCAGTTCAGAAATGGTTTTGCCTCAAAAATCTAGTATTGTCTGGGTTATAAAAACAGCCCCAATGCAAATGTACAGACAAAATTGTGTGCGTAGTGTAAAACATAGCTGCCATGACACAGTTTTTTGTTTGCCATACTTAAGTAATACTACCATCTTTATAGGTGAAACAAAACATATTAGTGGTATCTAGTCAAGCAGACAGTTTCAGTTTTTCCAGGTTTGGAGTTACTCAGATTTCTTCCTCCACCCCAATACAATGGAAGTGGATTTGATGTGTGGTGCTCACAGCATTAAAAAAATGACATTTAAAAAAGCAACAAGATATGATGTATGGCTAAGTACAAATAGAGAGAATTTATATTTTGTGTGAAGTGACCCTTTAAAATAATTATTAGCATTGAAGTCAAAATCTTGCGTGTCTTAACAATACTTACCACATCAAAGTGTTCCCATTCATTGATTGCTGGAGGTGAACTGGATTCGGTCTCTGTTCCCTCCTTTAGTGCTCTCTCTTCAGTCTGTCTCTTTTTGTCCTCTTCTTCCTCTAATTCCAACACAGCAGCTGGCTCACTGGGAGCCTCTGTCAAACTTTCCTCTGGTTTTTCTTCCTTCCTGGTCCCATCTTTACGGACCTCATCTGGAGATCCTTTCTCTCTTATCATAACAAGTGAATCATCTGCATCCTCCTCTTTAAACTCGTCTTCTGACACCTCGATGAAGCTCTCTGGGAAAACACAAAATTGAGTATTTTTGTTAATGTCTACCGGTTTAAGGAGTGTGATCCTAAACCAACAGTGAATGTACCTTCTGACTCGGACTCCTCACTGCCCTTCGATTTCACAGCATCCATTTCAGTCTGTGCACTGAGAGGTTTTCCACAAATCCGAGCAGGTACCTTGATAGATAATGGGTTCCGGGTAGAAGCAGAGGCACCCTGTGGTTGGACCGGATCTCTGTTCTTTGTGATCAGTCCGTGCTCTGATTCTCTTCTCTCCAGCTCTTCTTCTTCTTTCTCTGTCTGTCCTCTGCTTCCCGTCCTTATATTCTCTGTCAACTGTCCATTCTTTGTCTCCGCTTCTGACTGTTGCAGCACCGCAAAGTGAAGTGCTTTATTTCTCTGACCTATCACATCCTCCATCTCATCTTCAGAGCTAACGAACAAACTATCTTTCACATGTAAACTTTGGCCAGTTGGGTTCACCTTAAAATCAGATTTTTCAATAATTAAAGACTTCACGTCGCCAGGTTCTGCCTCTTCCTCTGAACTGCTGAGGACCATTTGTGGCACAGGATGATGAATATTCACCTGCAGTTTTGTGGGTGAGCTGCTGATTAGAGTCTTTTGTTCTGCAGCAACGTCTTTCTCCTCAATGAGGGCTTGTTGGATTGCCAGCAGGGTGCGTGGGGACACACCACCATCCTTCTTATCCTCATCCACCTTCTCCTCATCCGAGCTGTTGTTCATTGCCGCCTGGATTGCCTCGAGTGTACGAGGAGAGGGAGGTGATGCACCTCCCCGAGACTGCTTTGAGACAGAGGGCTTGGAGGCTTCTAAAGGGGGACTCTGCTCCTTCTCCTCTTCCTCACAAACAGGACGCCACAGGGGCTCAGGCCTGCCCGCTGCACATCTTTTCCAGCCTGACAGGGAGCTCCCAGACCAGGGTGCAGTGGCAGGTTGGCTCTCGGAGGCAGTCTCGCTCTTTTTGGAGCCTACATAGGAAAAGTGGAGTGGTGTTTAAATTGTAAACACAAAGACAATTTGCAGTTTTAGATGTGTGTCTAAATGATAACAAAGGAAACCCTTTTAAGAGACAATTCCACATCTACTTTACAACAACCACTGTTTAAAACACACCATAAGATTACAGATTAATTTCCTCCCTCCCAGGAAACCATTGGTTTCTACAGATTTTAATATGGTACCAAATCGTGCAGAGATTTACAATGTGATTGAGATGAGTAACCTATCACACAACCATATGTGTGCTTTATTTTACATGAAAGAAACACTGTGTAATAATAACAGTTGTATGTTGCTGTGACCAACAACAGATCATGACAGTTTTCCTGTAAAATACTGAAAAACTGTAAACATATCATCATAGCTGCCCTCGCCTTTAATTAGGATATAGTGGGAACGGTCTTCTGAGACCAGTCGACGTGACTCTACGCTGTGACTCTCCTGGTCCCCGTCCTCTTCGTAGAGCTGTGGAGCGCTGCTGGCACTCCGCTGGCTCATCTCTTTCTCCACACCCTCCAGCCGCTGGTTCAGCTGGTTCCTCTGCAGCAGGCCGGCCAACTGGTACTGGGAAAAGTCTCCTGAATGCTATGGTGGAGTGAAATAGAGTATGTGTTGAAGAGGAGAAGATGGGTCAGTGAGTATGTGTGTGTGAATGAGAGTGGACAGTACCTCTGGGGGTTTGTGGTACATGGTCCGGCGTCTTTTGGAAAACTCTTTCATGTCTTTAAGAATCTCGTGTTTCATTTCAGGAGGCAGGCTGGCAAACTCCTCTGAGTTGATGTCCACTGAGTTGGGGTCTTCATACAATTCTCCCTGGGACATGGCGAGCAATCAGGCCTCAAATGTCAATTATCAAAACAGGGCGTTCATACAAAGATCTATATCTTATCTCTTACCATCAGTATTATATTGATATAATCGCCCAGCTCGAACACAAACTACTGGTGGTGCTATTTAGTTTGATGCTCTGGTGCATGTGATCATTTTACCTGATACATGTGATAACTGTCAGCAGTCTCTTCCCTCTCTTCTTCTTCCTCCTCTTCTGAACTGCAAGAACAAAACACATTAACATGATTACAGTGCCAGTATTATTGTTAGTAACTATTTAATGGACATAGTCACTTAACTTTTTGAATTAACCATATACACTTACCTGAACTTGAGATTTGATATTGTATTAAAAGGAGTTTTTCCTTGCCACTATCGCCAATAATGTCTGATTTGGCACTATTTAAAGTTAAAAGAGTTAAATTGAAAAGTATACTTTTGGTAAGTGCACCTTCATGCACGGTTACTGTTAACTTGTGAACTGATTAACAAAAATTTGTATTTAGTTATTTGTGAGCTCTTCTGAAAACTTGGCTTGGCTTGTCGTAGCGCTGTAGATAATCTGACTGAATTACCCACCACTTAATCCATAATAACTAGTGAATAGTAACCTTTCCCAGGCCTCAGACCTGCTTTTGTCCTTTTCCTCTGCAGCTGGCAAGGCTGGTAGAACATACATGTCGTCCACCTCGTCTCTCCTCACGCTGGAGAGGCTGGGTAGAGGATCCTTACTGTGGAGGGGGAAAAAAGGACACAATTTTAATCTAAATAGACAGTCCATCTTGTATTGTTTTGTTTTAAAGAAAGTAGGTGACAGTAGGTAGGTAGGGAGGGAGGGAGACAGATAAGACACAGGGGAGAAAGCTCTAGCAAAATTTCTTTCTAACACTACTTTTGGTAGTGGTAGAAAGAAATGTGGTTCCAGAGACAGGAGTGCCATCCCTCCAACTGTTCACTGCCTCTGTCACTTACCTGCGGTCCCCAAGGGCAGCTTTGATTGCCTGTCTCTTCAGGAATGTCTTGAGGAGCTTCTCATTGGTCTGTTTGGACTCCCGGCTCAACTCCTCTTTCCTCTGCCTCCTGAGAGCCTGCAGGAGAACAACAGCCATGTTAAATGACAGAATATTTGGGAATCGAATCATATGCATATGGAAGAAATATCCAACACCAGTTAACTTTGTTTAGAAGACATTTACACAGACTGGTTATGTGGTACTTTGGGAAGCACCGGATGTACCAGAGTCTGTTTCTTCAGCAGAGGTGCGTCCCCATCAAACACAAAGACCGGCTTGATGCGGAAGAAGAGCAGCTTACAGATGCGGTGGAAGAGAGTGAGCAGGTGTGCGTTCTGGACACTGTTGCCATCACGGTCCCTCACCCCCTTCACTGCTTGGTTCAGCCATATACTGATGTCTGGAGGTGTGTGGTTAAGGTTAATGCTATGGCTTAGCAGAAGACAGTCAGGTACAACCAATACCACTGACAGAGAGATGCAGGAAAGATGCTGGGAGCCTACTCAAGCAATGACAAACAGATAAATAAGATAGATATATAAGGCACCACCATGTTAGGATACCAACAGCAAGGATCTTTCCCTCCAGAGTCTCAGGGTTGATGGGTTTCCCTGTACTCTCCAGCAGCCTCCATAGTCCATGCACTCCCATGATAACTGTAACGTTAGTCTAAAACTCACCCGAAATATTGTGAATATTAAAACATATTGAACATTTTCACCTATAAACCATGAAACCATTGGAGCGGGAAAACAATAAGCAGCATCCTTACGGCACTTTTCAACGTTTGTTGTAACACTATTTCTGTCCGAAGACCACATTTTGACTACACCTGAAGGTTCCGCGTCATACAGGTCGGGTCATATTTAAAAGTGACACCCCCGGCTAGAGGCAGCATCAATTTTCTTATAGTTTAATCAGTTCCACAGTTGCAGTTCTAGTATAGTAATAATAATATAACAACTGATCTGAGTTTAGTTTTGCGAGAAGGGGACGGGACCATGGACTGGACGGACAGTTCTCTAAAGAGATGGCGTGTTTACCCTGGGTAACGCCTGTCAGGCATTGTTGTAGAACGCTACTTCGTCTACAAAACTAGACATGTAATACTTAATGTAAGAAACTGTCGGGTTTAAGGCAAAAAACACGATTTGGGGTAGGCTGCGCCTTTAGTTTGCAAGAGGGGACCGTTATTTTGACAGAAGCTTTGCCTGAGAGGCTCACCTCAGGGCAAAAAGTCACAAATATCCACCACCCGTGAGAGGCCAACTGTGTCCGGTGACAAAATAAACAGCTTACGGCTGCTTACAGATAATTAAAGGAGGGGGTCGGATCCATTGTTACCGGTATGTTATCTAACAATTTGTTTGAAAAAAGTATTACAGATATAGTTGAAGTGTCTTCCCGATAGCGTTAATGTTACTGTAACTTTGGTTGTTAAACTTCCTATTAACTGCTGATTTCTGTTAACGCTCGACAAACAGCTAACGTTAGCTTATCAGCTAGCCACCTTTATCCTGTTATCAGTACCTCAGCTATTAACCCTGACCTTTAACTAGCGGCTTTCTTTGATCGCTGTCACAAACACTGAATGCTACAAATGTTAACAGCAAAGTACTTTCCCCATTGTTAATTATCACAGAACGAAGAGTCACCGGGGTTTCACCGAAACTACAGACTTCCTTTTCAACTAACACCACCTCCAAGATGACTGCTGCCGTGAGAGGTATGTGTTGATTTGATTTAGTCTCAGGTACGCCTACATTTCGCAAACAGTTGTTTACATTTCCTACCCCAGCCCAGCCAGTTGCAACAAAGTGCTAAAACGTGTGCTTTGTCCCGAGTAGTTTGAGGCCATCTTAATCTGTGGATTATATCCTCGATGTCAGAAGATGGTGAAGAATTTCTTGTCAGAGTTTCCCAAAGCCCGAGATGACGTCCTCAAATGTCTCGTTTTATCCACAACCTTAATATATTCAGTTTAATGTCATAGAGGAGTAAATAGACCAGAAAATATTAACATCTGAGAAGCTGGAATCAGAGAATTTGATAGAGAGAGAGAGAATAGTTGATTTAATGGTTTACCATTAATTGAGTAATTGTTGTGGCTCTAATAAGTGCAATTTGTAAACTTGGCCTTATTTCTTTCTTCCAGAATCTGCCAAAGTGCCTATCCGAGGTGCTGGCGATGGCATGGAAACTGAAAAACCCCTGGCCGTTCTGGAGGTGAACACAGATCTGCTGCTTCCAGGTCCGTCTGCAGTTCCCCTCCTGAAAGTGGCAAGCCCAAAACACAGCCCCACATCTACCAATCCTGCTCCCCCTGCTGCCCGCCAGCCTCTCGGGGTGCTCCATCTGGGCAAGGTGAGTCGAGAGGCCTGCACAGAGGTGGAGGCTGTGAGGATCATTGTCCCACGTGCTGCTATTAGCCGAAGCAGCCGTGCAGGACCTGCTGAGGGGAAAGGAGAGGCTGGGCAACCGGCTGAGGAGCAAAGCTCTCCTCCGCTGCCTCTGGTGGAGGACTGGAGAGGACAGATGGAGAAGCTGCAGAACTCTGAACGCAGGCTGCTGCAGGACAAGGAAGGCCTTTCCAATCAGCTCCGTGTGCAGACAGAGGTAAGATACATCTTATTTAGATACAGAGAGTAACATCATCAATTCATTTTAGTATGTTTCATGTACAGTTTCTTGAATTTATTGCTCTGTCTGGATAAGTCCAAATTACATAGTTAACACAATGTAATTATACTCTATTGTCTTTTTGAGGGGACTGAACTGCTTTTAGGTGAAGATAAAGGAAACTGCTGTAGAAGGAATTTGGTAACTTATTATTCATTCTGTGTGCCAGGTGAACCGTGAGCTAAAGAAACTGCTGGTGGCATCGGTGGGCGATGACCTTCAGTACCACTTTGAGCGTATGGCACGGGAGAAGAACCAGCTGATTCTGGAGAATGAGGCTCTAGGCCGGAGTCTGGCGCACACAGCGGAGCAGCTGGAGCGAATGAGTATCCAGTGTGATGTTTGGAGGAGCAAGTTCCTGGCCAGCAGGTTTGAAATTGTCTAGCCGGAAGAAGGAAACACATAATAATAAAAAAAATTCTAAGGATCAATTAAAGTCACAAAAAAAATCACAAGTACTTTTATCATGCCAATTAAACACACAATGTTGTCTACAGAGTCATGGCAGAGGAGCTGACGATGGCCAGAACAGCTCTGCAGAGACAGACCAGAGAGGCTCAAGGAGCAATTCAAGATCTGCTGTTAGAAAGAGAAGAGTTCTCCAGGGACATGGTGCTCACTCACAGGTAACGTAACCACTGATCCATATTTACTCAATTAAGTGAAAAAATCCCTAGGAACCGGCCTAGAAAGGAAAATCAAAGTTGGTTAAATTCAACGTCCCAGGTCTGCCTGCATGCTAACATTGACCTTTTATCCAGCTACCAGATGATAATAATAAATATTTGTAGCTCCATTTACAACATTTCCTTATATAGCTCTATGGTAAGCATTCTACTTTAGGAGTCCACTGCCCAGTGCATTTGTTAAAAAAAGACGTGTATAGAATACACAAGACATATCTCTAATACCACAAGTAGAGTGGTGTTGGCATAGCTTTGTAGTAGAAACACTTGACCAACACTTTCATGTTCTTTGGAATAAAATATATTTGCGCTTAAAGGTTCAGTGTGTAATATTTTTGAGGATTTATTGACAGAAATGCAATATAAGATCCATAACTATGTTTTCAGTGGTGTATAAAGACCTTACATAATGAACCATTATGTTTTTATTACCTTAGTCATTTATATCTACATAACCACGTGTCCCTGCATCGTCATGTTTCTACAGAATCTGAAAACGGACAAACAGCGCTACAGAGCGCGTTTCATTCGAATGTTCTTCTTGTTCTACTTCTGGTAGAATTCAGGCAGTGCAGACACTCCTCACTATCTTGAATACATACGTATGAAGAAGAAGAAAAAGCAATAATATACAGCAGGGCTCTGCAAATAAGTTTTGGATCAGAGCAATAATTTCAACTATTAGATGGTGGGTGAGAATATAAGCCATGATATTGACACAATTTATGTAGTTTTTGGTTAGCTCAGTTGGTAAAGCGCAGGACTCGCATCCCAAAGGTTGTGTGTTCGATCCCACCTAGGGAAACTTTTTTTTTTCTCTCTTTTCAACAAATGGATTCTGCAGCGATTGTTTATCACATCTGGACATGTGCTGCAGTGTGTGTGTTCCAGTGATTGATCTGCATCCATCAACCTACCAGTGCTTTATCATTTCCCCAGTATCTCCAGGCAGAGAACATTTAGGGGAATCACGTTTGATGTCTCAGAAGAGACACCTTTTGTGCTGTGTCAGCCACTGTAGCTGTCCTACACTCTTTGAAAGGTTAGGGGGCAGTGGTAGACTGGAAAGTTGGTTGCAATTCACAACCGTCACCACTAGATGCCACTAAATCGTACATACTGAACCTTTTAAGTTTCTTATCGCTTGTTGAGCTTGGTAAAGTAAACTTTCATGCAGTTATTTGGAAAAAATATACACTGAACTTGACCTATAGTATAACATACAGCGATAGCTGTACGAACATTACGTCTGCTCACAGCTAAACCATTGATGCTAAAGCATGAATGAAGTGTTGACGACCAACCTCATTTTCAAAATAATACAATGTGTGTGCCAGTGGGCATGGGTTGCCAGTTGAAAGACCAAGAATGCGCTTGCCTTTCTGTCATCAGGTCTCTGGAGCAGCTCCTGGTGTCCCTTCAGTGGGGCAGACAGCAGACGTACTACCCCAGTGCACAGCCCCTCAGCACAGGAGAGCTGGCAGCAGCCAATCATAAGCTAGCAGACGCCATCAACTCCCACCTGCTGGGCAACACCAGCAGCAGCAGCAACAGCAGTGGTGGTATGATGAAGGGTAGCAGTGCAACAGCCGAGCAGCTCTGCAGCACACCGGCTGAGAAGATGGCAGAGAAGGTACAATCTCTATATCCTCGTACAAATATTACCATTTTCAAATATTCGTCATGAAATCCAGAGGTTCACAAACGTGTCATCTGTTTTCTTTCTTAGGTGCTAAAGATTTTAGATCCAATTTCTTGTTCAGAAAGCAAGACAGAGCCTCCACTCAGTGACTGCACCCCCTCAAACTTCCTTGGCAATAAGAAGAGCATCGGCAGGTTTCACCCATATACCCGCTATGAGAACATTACTTTTAACTGCTGCGAGCGCTGCACTGGAGACATCCTGGTGCTGTAGAGGTCAAAGAGCGGCAAAATGACCCTGTCTGACACCGATGCAGCATAAGAGCTTATTTCAAATGACTGTGGTCTGAACAGGAGTGTACTCTGGAGGAAGTTGCTGCTCTGTGTTAAGTAACTTCAGCTGCTCAAGCAGACATTTGGTGTATCAGTATGAACCTTTTGCTACATATTCTAGCAGATAGTTGGATTTTCACAATTTCACATAATGGTTTTCAATTTTGATCAACCTGCTGTAGATGTGAAAGTGATGAAAACAGAATGCATGTGTGTTTGTAGCCTGGTTTAAACCATGGTTATGTGCTATTTATTGCTGGGATGTGAGGACAAGATGAGTCAGTGTTACACTATTTGGGAGTCTGCTTATTCAAACTTGAACATCAGGCCTCCTAGTGTGTCTTAAGTTTTATTTACATATTCATATATCCAGATGTCAATGTGCAAACAATAGACCAAACAGGCTGTGAGTAATGTACAAGTGTGAGCCTGAAGCCTGACAGCAGCCTGTTGTGGAAAGACCCTCCAGAAGGTAATGAGCTAATTACACTGTCACAAGTGTACTATGACTGTACAATAACAAAGATAAGTGAGGATGCCTTGGATACTGCACAGGTCTCTCCAGTTTCTCTGTATGATGGTGCTATCATATTTTTAAAAAGACTGTATTAAAATATTTTGTGTATTTCATGCTACAAAGATATTAAAACAGACAATGAAGTGGTTTGACGGTACTACAGTAGTAGACCATTATTGTGCAGCGGTATTGTTCAGAGAAAACCCTGATTATTATCAAGTGCCCACTCACCTACACAATAATTTGCAAATGATTTGACTTTGTTGTGTTTCAAAGAAACTTTACATTTTTCTAAAGATTTCCAGAAAGTAAGACGTTTTATGTTTTATTTGTTTTCATTGAATCATGTCATGTTAATAAGTGAAGCTTTTTGTAATACCTTATTAAAAGAAAAGTGAACAAACTAGTTATATATTACACCTGCGTTTTTGATTTTGCAATGTTCTCAAACCAAGCTGTATAATATTTAGGTTCATTGCACCTGTATGAAATAGTTGACTTTTCACAGTGATGGTATGATTTACAGTGAAACCACACCATAAAAATATTTATACATCTTTGTTTACCATGTCAGACCAAAATAAAGACCAAACTAGTTGTGTTTTTTTTTAAGATGTCTTGATTATTACCCTGCATTGGAGTCAAAGCAACAGACAAGCAAGCACCCAAGACTACATATTTCATTTTATTAACCACTTTGTTGACAGTGTAAACAGAAATGTTCTCATTAACCCAAGTTACAATTCTTCACTCGTCATCCCACCACATCTTGCTTTTGCCTGCACCTTTTCTTCCCCCCATGTTGCTCTGAAATGATGTCCGTACTCTGGTTGCAGCTGCTTTGTTTTCCCTGTCACTGGGCAGTCCAGCCATTCTGTCTCTACCAGTGATCCCAGACTGTTTATTGGGCCTGTAAAGACCTTGGCCCTCATTATTAAATGTCCTTTCGTCCAATCTTAACCACCTGCCACCGTCGTCTCTTGGTCCATGATTTGTGGCCCCCCTGACTCTGTTCTTGGTAATTTCTTTCTGTGTCTGCTGTTGGTGGAAGCCATCGTGCTTCCGTTTAGGCACAAACTTCAACGCCTCCTCCCATTTCCCCGTGTCCTTGAGAGTGAGCATGATGCGGATCATCTGGTCCAGAGTCAGATTTTTGGCTCCGATCTCCCAGTGGAGGAACTCATCCAGCGGTAAGCGGGCTGTAGTCAGCTTCAGACGCTTGGCATTGGCCAACGACAAGCCTGACTGAATAGACCGGTCCACTAGAGATCCAATGATGTACACCTTGGAGTGGTCAAACGTGCGGAGAACATTGGGGGAGTCTGCGGTGAGGTAGACAAGCCGTTCACGTGGGAACAGATCAACGTGCTGGCGGTCAGTGCTGGTGATGAGTAGGCGTTCCCAGGCCTCTGCACCGTATCGTTTGAGCAGCTCCTGCTTGTAGGCCCCGTCTGGCTGCAGGTTGCAGAAGTGGAGGTGGAAGGGCTCTGTGGCACGCCGGTTCCACCCTTCCACCTCCATCAGCTGGGACACTGTGTTCTCTACCTCCCGCCTGGCCATGTTAGACTCATAGCTCATGTCAAACACCAGTGGCTGACCGAACAGCATGGCCTGGGCGCTCCTCCAGGCCAGCAACTTGTCCAGGGAGCGGCTCCAGAATTGGAGGAGGAATGTGCTTTTACGCTCCTGTCCTCTCTGATCATCCCCTTCCTCTGCATCACTGTCCTGGTCTCTTTTCTGTTCCATTGAGGCTTCCCTGTCTGCCTTCCTCTGCTGCTGCTTCTCCTTACGGGCCCTTTTATGGCCCTCCTTGATGGCCAGGTACTTAAGGTACTTCTTCCTGGATGACTTGGTGGTGAGCTCAGCCAGCGTCTGAACCTCATCCTCAGTCATCTCTTGAGGTACAAGCTTGCCAGCTTGCCGCCACATTGCAACCAGGTCCCGAGTTGCCTCAAGTGAGGAACCATCCTTTAAATCATCTCGTGCGTCTTTTAGGCTTTCATCATCATCACTTGCTTCCTCTTCATCATTGACTTGTTGTTTCTCTTCTGATGCAGCTTGGGATCTCATTACAGATTTCCATTTGTCCAGATCTATTGTCTGTATTTCTTCGGATTTCTCTATTTTTGGCTCGAGAGCATCTTTCCACACTGGGCTCCCAATACTGAAGTGGCGAGCAGGGATGTGTAGTCGTTGATGACAGGCGCTGCTGACTGGGAGAATACGTATGGCTTTCCTCTTGGTCAGACAGGTTAAAACAAAATTATTGCATTTCCAGAGTTCATAAAAACCCTGGGTAGTAAAGCACCGTAACATCGCGGTACTAAAACTAGGAAATACAGACTGCGGGACTGTCAGTGTCACTACGTTGAATACAAACGGAAGAAAACGTGTTTTCAACGCGGTTACATCCGTTTTCCCCTTTCATGAAAATGTCATAAGTAAAATCTTCTTAAATGTCTTAAATATTCCTGAAGTCCTTTTCACATGTGGCGATGTGCCTGTAATGTAGTTGTGGAAGGTCACGTTGTTAAACGATGTCACACTAAAAAGGGTCGTAGTGGAATGCCGCTAAACAACCAAAGACCATAGACCGTAAACATGAGAGAGCTTTTCTAGTCTTAAATATTTATCTAGCTTATCACAACAACCAAATACGCGTTTACTGTGGCTTTCGCTCTCTATGACGCGTCCATATAACTTATAATAATAATTTTAAACAATCGTTCATTTCATGTCGTTTCCAGACGGATTTTTTCCCCCACAGCGCCTTACGTTAATAATGACGTAACTTCCTCCTGCCAGCTGAACGAGGGAAGCTAATTTGTTATCCTCGAAAATGAGTTTGTTTTTACCTAAATTAACGTGCAAAAAAGACATAGATGAAGTTATCAAAGGCGTAGCAGAAAAAGTCTTAGTTTTGCGGTTTGGGAGAGACGAAGACTCGATTTGTCTCCAGCTCGATGAGATTGTAAGCAGGACCGTTAATGCAAAGAAACCAAGCGGCTGATCACTGTTGGCGTCGCGACTGTTTTGCGTTTTGCTAATTTTGTCATTTGTGTCCATTTTAGCTGTCAAAAACTGCCCATGACCTGAGTAACATGGCGTCCATCTACATCGTTGATGTGGATAAAGCTCCCATTTACACAAGATACTTTGACATCAGTTACATCCCCTCCACGGTGTTCTTTTTCAACGGACAGCACATGAAAGTGGATTATGGGTGAGGTTTTTTTTAACTTGCATGTGTAATTGTCAGGTAAATGTATGTATGATGCCCCATGTGAGAATGCTTCAAAATAGGGCTGAATGAAAATCTGAATTTCCAACAGAATTATACAGAGCTTGTTGACATCTTTAAATGTCTTGTTTTGCCCAACCAACACTCCAAAAACCCCAAAACCCCAAAGTTACTACTACGGAGAAGCTGAAACCAGGGATACGCGTTGGTATTTTTGCTTAGATGTAATTATTTAAATGATTAATTGATCATTAGAATATAAGCCAATTTTCTGTTTGTTGACAGTTAATTGTCTGAGCTCCATAAAATGTGTACAAACTGAAATAAATATAAAAAAAGAGCAGTCATTGCCCTCATTTAGTTTATAATGTTTATAATGTCCTTCAGTTCCCCAGATCACACCAAGTTTGTCGGCAGCTTCAAGACCAAGCAAGATTTCAAGGATCTGATTGAGGTCATATACAGAGGAGCCATGCGTGGGAAGATGATTGTTCAGAGTCCCATAGATCCTCAAAATATTCCAAAATATGACCTCCTCTACCATGGAATATAAAATCAACACCTGCACTGTGCAGCGTTATTAGTATAATAATAATAATAACAACTGCTGGGTGATTGACTGACAACAAATAGCTTTGATTTTCAGCCTCTGAGCAAACATCTAAGGATGATTTTATATTAAAGCTCAAATTTGGGGACTTTAGAACGCAAATTACAGACAGTACATTTCCTTTTATTTATGTTGTCTTGCTATGTTTAAAGATTCCCTGTGGAGTTTTGACCACTATTAATTCCATGAAGCAGTGTTTTGTTATGTGTGTTAATAACACATGTGCGTGCAGCGGAGGTGATACACATTCCAGCCAATGGTTTCACAGTTTAGCTCTGATCAACACGTAACATGACAGTAAACGCACTAGTTTAAAGGCATTATGAGACAGTGAAGAAGGAGACTGCAAGCTAGTAAACATGGATGTAAACAATACAGGTTTAGAAAATGTTTTATGTCAAAGGAAATGCAGTCATGATGTTTGTGAGACCTCAAGGATACACACAATTTGTCAATTTGACAAACTGTAAAGTGACAAAACAACAAGAAACTCCACAGGGCACCATTAAAGAAGAGTACACAAGAACACTGTTTAACAAAAACTTTTGGGAAAAGCTGTTAGTATACTGATTTTGATGAATATGGTTCTGCAACTTTATTCAGATTTTATTTATTTCTTGTGAAAATGTAGTCATCATGATGTTTCCCGTGGAAAAGAGCTGCATATGAGCGTAGTGATACAATTCAGTTATCCAATGTACATGCTCTGTTTTTATAATAAACTTTTATAATTTACATAATGTTCCCCCCTCTATGCTTTTAAATTTTTATTTAGTTAATGTAAACAGACACTATTTGAATGTAAAGAGTAGCAGGCGATGTCAGGAGCTTGCTCAAGCCCTCCTTCGGCAGTGCCCAGGAGGTGAACTGGCACCTCTCCAACTACCAGTCCACACTCCGAGCTGGATTCGATTCATTAGGGAAACAACCGTTTAAACATCATGCATCATAGCAGCTAAAATTAAAAAACGTATTCACAAAATTAAGTAATATAAAAAAGATTAATTTCTCAGACATAGCAGACATAGGGACATTTAAATCCAAAGGGATTTGCGGGAAGAAATAGCTGATATTTGATCTGGCACTCCAATTAAGTATATAGAAATAGTTTCTGTGTCATTTTGTAGATTTGTAGCACAGACTGTACCAAAGAAGAAATTTGTAAAAATTGACTTTTATTGTGAAAACTGTACAGGAAGTGTCTCTTCTTCTGGCGGAATCTATGGGCAGAACTCAAGGCGACACAGCAATGGCAGCGACCTTGTGCAGAGCATGGCGTTCGTAGCAGTTTAATTAGATAACCACCTAAAATGTTCGCATATCGACCACACGAAATGACAATTTGATTTTTATAGTAAATGTTTTAGGGTGAACAATGATTTCCTTCATCAAGGCCGCTGTCGGCGGTTTGAGTGGCATCTGTAGAGCCCACGGTTACAAAGGTAACGTTAACACAAGTTAGCTAACGTTAACGGTATAGTGACAACAAAACTAACCTCTTTTGTGACTGTCTGTATTGCATGTGAGTGGTAAGTTATATATTAATTTACGAGGAACAGTACACATTAATAAGCATTGCTGTAAAGATTTTTTTTTAGTCCCAGTACAGATGAATAGTCGCCACCAAAACAACCTGACTTAAAGTTAAAACAGTTATTGAAGTAACTTATAGGATGTAAGTATACAGAGCAATAATATTTAGGCAATCGATAGTTTAGTAGTAGCACATCAATGTGCCATCTTGTGAGGACCATGGTTTAACACCGTTACAGTAGAGACATATTGGTGAAAGGATGATAGCAAGGAGCAATGGACTTTTAATGCAGAGAAAGCTGACCACCAATTAACCATTTTTCTATCAAGCAGTCTCAAACAAGAACAAGTAACGCCCAGGCTTAAACTCGAACACCTGTCTAATTAAAACTTAATGAAGACATAAAAATTTTTGTTGAAAATATCAGTGTACACTGTATTTTATTTAAACAAAGGCTTCTGAGTTGCAGGAAATAAGTCAAAATTAGCACATTTTCTCTCTCCCTCTACTGTACTGCGATGGCTTGAAGAGACATTTCTTCAAACTGAGCAGTACTATATTAGCAATCGAAGAATTGATCACCCCCCACCCCTAAACATACGTTAACTAGACTGGATTTTGCCAAACATCATGACAACACGTGTCAACTGCTTTTTGTTCCACAGGTCCTTTGCACAGCCACTTGAAAGTCCTCACTGCTGGGCTGAAGACGTATGAAATCCCACCAGACTACAGCGGTAATCATTTATCTTCTTGTCATTTATTTGTTGTGAGGTTTTAACCTCTTTCTAAAATGTTTGCCTGCATGTATACAGAAGATGGGAAGACGTTGGGATAAACACCGTAGAGAGCTTCTCTGGCCTCTGTCCTTTGTCTGGTCTTGGGAACTATTGTCATCGCACACGTTTATGTACAACGGAATTTGCTGGGCTGTGCCTGAATATAAAACAAGACAGTTATAAATACACAAATAAATACTCTAACATGCACAGTCATCCCAAACAATAGAAATGTGAACAAAGCATTTTAAAAGCATGGAAGCAGTGTTGCACTGGTTGTCCCCTTATTGCACATAGAGTGCATGACACAGAGGTGGGGCAATGTTTTGTTCATTTCAATGATGGCTCTTGGATAAAAACTGTCCATCAGTCTGGAGGTTGAGCTTTGAATACTATGTATCTCCTCCCAGAGGGTAACAGAGAGAACAGGTGTTGATAGGGGTGGGTCGCATCTCCCAGGATGTTGTTAAATCTGCAAATGCATGCTGTACGTTAATGTTGCTCATCATTCCTCACTCTTGTTTTTACCTCTGAAGATGTGGTGTTGCCAGAGAAACCCAAACTGAAGTTTGTGAACAAGGTGCCTAACTTCAAAAAGGCCAAGAAAGAGATGAAGAAGCTATGGGATATCCAAGGCCCAGCTAGGGCGGCAAATACCTTCACTACTGGACAGTATGCCATTGTGGTGAGTGGAGTTATCTGTAAACTCTACCGTTTAGTGATATGTGACAGCTTTTTCAAGCATTGAAGTCTATGAAGATTATATTACCTGCAGTGTTTTATAACTTGTCTTAATATTAAACCTTCTGTAACTGTATATTAGCAGACTTGTAATGTCAACTGTTGCATAATTCACAGTCCTTACAGGAAATGATTACAAAGTGCTTAGACATTTGTTATTTCCAGTACAGAATTACACTGCAACTTTTCACTTCAGTTTTACATTCATGCAAATAAGGACAAGGCTCACGTTTTTAAAAAAGTGTGATTCAACATTTTATATATTAGAATATTATCCAGTCTTCTATCAAGAACAATAGCAATTATAACTAATAAATAATCAACATTATCTTTGCACCTAGCTTTCTCCCTTCACATGTTCTAAGTTATATTTACGCCAAGTGAGAAGTGGTTAAGTGGAGCATGACATTTAAAAGTGACTTCCCTCTTTCTCTGTCTTGCTCTCTCTTTGATGCTCAGGCGATGGGAGGGGGATATCTTCACTGGGGTCACATAGAGATGATTCGTCTAACCATCAACCGCAAGATGGATTCCCGGACTACATTTGCCCGCTGGCGCATCAATGGCCCATATAAGCCAATCACACGTAAAGGTCTGGGTCAGCGCATGGGTGGGGGCAAAGGAGCTATTGACCACTATGTGACACCTGTCCGCTATGGACGTTTAATCGTGGAGGTGGGAGGAAAGGTGGAGCTGGGGGAGGTTGAACATATCTTGATTGAAGTGGCAAAGAAGCTTCCCTTCCCTGCAAAGGTGAGATGACCGATACAGTGTATACATTGCCATTTTCCATCTTACTAAATGTAATATATTCTGAAAGAGTTTCAGTTAATGTAATTTGATACTTGTAAAAAAGTGATGACTACATAATGGCACATTTTTGGAAAATCATTTACACTCAGTTGTCACATAATCACATCCAACACCTCTCTAAAGTTTTATATATATTTATATATATCCCTAATCGATTTTAAATTGTTATCTGCACAAAGTATCTATAAGTCTGGCTCATTTCCCTTTGTACACAACCTTTGGAATTAAAATATCATGCGCAACCATTTTTATAACTTTAATTGCTATTGATTTAGAATTACTTCCTGCAGTTTTTCCCCCTTGGTATCTTTGTGTTACAATAAGTTTTTTCATTTTTATTTATTTCAGGTAATGAGCAGGGACACCCTCGCAGCCATGCACAAGAAGCAGGCTGATATGGAGGAGAACAACCAGAATCCCTGGACCTTTAAGCAGATAGCACATGGCAACATGCTGGGTATTAGGAGGGTGCTCAGCCCCTTTGACCTGCACAACAATGGGCGCTTTACAGGCAAATTTCACCTTCTGGGGAGGGTGTGACAGGCCCAGACAACAGGAATCAATACTGTGTATATTGTGACACCATCCAGACCACACTGTTGAAGAAGCAACCAAAATTTTGAAAGGCTCAGAGTTTCAACCATATTTGGGAATCTTCTTTCATGTTTTTTTTTATGCAAATGTACTAGTGAATTTAACATTTTGTTAAAGAGGTATGTTTCCCCCTTTTTCTGCTTAAAAAACAAATAAACTAGATAATGTATTTCAGTTTTACATGGTGGCTCAAATATTGTGACAATATTGAGATTGGTTTTTCTGTCTAATCAGATGCAAAAGAGAAGTAAAAATGTATCTCTACAGATTACACTAAATTAAGAACAAATAAAAAAGTGGTTGATTTATAAGTATTTATCCTCAAGTGATTAGATTTTATCTGGAATTCCAATTGCCGAAGAAAAAAGTCCATTAAAAAAAAAAATGGCAGTATGACAGTAAATCTACTTAGAGCAACTCTGAAAGATTGACAGGTTTGCATGGCTGTTATTAGTGATGCTGTACATAGAGTGACTGTTGCTGGGGTGCATCAGTACCTGTTCTCTCATTTCTTACAACATTTTTACACATATGTTGTGTTCATTTTTTGATTATCAGGTACATTGTGAATAGTACCTTAAAGCCTGTCAAATTCAACAACTACATTTCCCGTTGGCCTTTTTAACAAACTTGCTGTCTGAAAAGTTGTGCATATCTTTTCTTTATTATATTCAAATGTTAGCAGCCAATACAGTTGCTTATAATATGAAGAGATCAACATTAGTATGATGCTTCACTTTTCCCGGAAATACAAGTCCAAAATCCCAATCCCATTTCCCAAAATGGCTTCAATCCACTTATTGGTGAGTCTCACCTGCCCTGTGTTTCACCTTGCAGGTTCTTAAACTGTGACCATGCTGGGATTTGTTTTCCTCCCAATGAAGGCAATTGTGTTTGCCTGTACTTTAATGTCTTAATACATTAATAAAACCCACCCACCCCCATCTGCCCATAGGGGTTCACCCTCCCAGGTAATGTTATTTTAGCTTGAGATACAGCTGCCTGAGAAGCTCAACTCCGGGTCCATTGTTTTTTAGGCGCATGCGCGCAGTACGGTTCGAAAACAAGCGCGAAAGGTAGCTCGACCGCTGACGACAACTTGTAAAGTTTGTGACTGGACATTAGATTAGATGCGCAACGTTGTGTACGAAATTTGTGTCTTAACCATGGTCATAACTTTACAAAACTTGTGTTAGGTCTTAATTTTCACAGAAAGATCTCCTGTATTGCTTCGCTGTTGACTTATTTTCGTGAGCCAGCCGTTTTTACGTAGCGTTAACTTACATTAACATTAAGCTAGCTAATAACAGTTATAGTCGCTTATTTACTTTATCATTAACTGACGTTAGGTTAACATTAGCTAGTACACATGAAGCCCGTGCGAGGTTCTAACCGGGCCGCATCAAAGGTACCTAACTCTGACAAAAACAAGCAAAAAACGGATCAGACGACGAAACAACAAGCAACAGAGGATCAGGTAAGATATGGTAACTAAGACAGACCAGTTGATTTGAACTCCGCGCCGCTGAGAGTTTTAAGTGGTGGCTAAAGTAACTGGTGATAACTTAGTCGCAGGTGTGTCGCACTGCTAACCAGGAAATACGTTCGATAAGTTTCTCTACATAATATATCGTCATGGAGATATGTTTCTGAATGTAGTTTGCAGGCTAATGTTACAAATTAGCTGCAAACTAGTTAAAACCAAGGACGTGATCATGAAGGTGACTGTGTCGCTGTTCAAAACGCTGCAAAACGTCAATAAACCGTCCAAATGTCCATGCTGTCTGATTTGTGCCACGGTCGGTTTTAATGTGTTTATACTTACATATGGGAACTTACAAATCTTTGCAATCGTCATCAACATTATCTTGCCAGTCAACATTTGTATCATGTATCGTTATTCATCTGACTTCGAGTTGACCCCAGAACAGTTTGTCATGGAGCCTGTAAGTGAGACAGTCTGGATGTTTACACACCGCCCGAACACATCGTGGGGTCAGCTGTGGCCACGGTACATGCTCACATTAGCTTGTGATACAACAGCTGTATCTACAGTCCCTCGTGTCTCATTTCACACACACCGAATTTGGAAGCAGGTGTGCAGAAACTAAAATCAGCTGGGTGTGGTATAGGCTATAGATGAAGGTGACCTACATAGTCTGTGATTACTGCTGGGTGTGTAAGTAGGTTGAACAGCTTACAGTAAATGCAAATAAAATGTAAGGGGATCATGCTACTGTAGCCATACAATATAAAGCTGCACAACATATTTGAGAATTACTGGCTATTTTTCCTACCTGTCACTATTAAGACCCACCAAAATCAAATCCTAACCACAGGCAACATACCAGCTGTGGTGTCACAACACAAAACAAACTTTTTACATTTTAACAGGGTTCACATGCATTGCAAGTTCTGTCATATTGTATAGAGCGCTAGAGACCCTTTACTGTGACTAAAATACAAAATTAATGATTAGTAGTCACTGATTGTATTGATTGATTGTAGCTTATGGAATGGAACTCAGCCCTTTGAGTCTGCTGTACCAGATGAGCAAAGACAAAATGTCATCGATCCATGCATCCTTCTCTGGATGTTTGATGAGAACCTGATAAAATGTTTGCCAATGACCTGCTTTTTTCCCCTTTTAGATTGAGTGAAGTAGGCTACCTGCAGTCTGTGTCACAAGGCAGGAGACTATTACCCTAGCTGACTTTAAAATAAAATCATTGACTACTAATCATACAGTAATTTTGAAATATGTTGTGCAGCTCCACGCTCTGTTCAGGCGGAGTGTAAACTTAGATGAATAATGATACATGATAGAAATGTTAAATGGCAAGATAATGTTGATGACGATTACAAAGATAGTGGAGTATAAACATGATTGATGGTATGAAGCTGTATCACAGGTTAATCTGGGCACTTTGCCACAGCTAACAGCAGTCTCCACTTTGTGTTCCAGCTGAGCGTCTCCTGTATGTAACACATTTAAACCTACCGTTGAACAAATCAGAGACACCGCATGAACATTTGGACAGTTTATTGACATTTTGCAGTGTTTTGAACAGCGACAAAGTCACCTCCATGATCACATCTGAAGTCCTTACTTTTGACTAATTTGCATGTGGGAGAGGTCCCTGTGAATCATCGTGCAGCTAACGATGTAGCCTACAAACTACATTCAGTCAATGGATCCTTAAGCCATGCCTGCTACACATCTGGGACTATCACCAGTTAATTTAGCCACCAGTTAAACTGTCACACCGGCATTGGTCTTTCAGTCTTTGGTTAACTTAAGTTGTTAACTAATGTTGCTTCACATGCTTTAATAATGGTTTTTATAGGACCCGGTGCCCAGTGACAACCATGGCAAGAGCGCCCACCCAAAAACTGCACGAAAGAGGAAAGGTTAGAACAGCTCTTTTGCTACGTTATCCTGCCTCTTGATAAATAAGAGATCAATCAGGGATAATGATGCAGGACACATTATGTTTTTTGCTCCTGTTTGTGTCCTGGAAAGCTGAAAGCAAAGTCAAAGGTCAGGAAAACTGGAAGCTGATGCCAGGATCTTCCATCGCTGCTCTGGAGAACATAATGGATTTGTCAATACTGTGAGTTTCACTCTGTTAATTCTGACTTTTATATCCTGCTAGTCTCTTGTTGTTAGTCTAAAAAGCAGCATTTCCTTTTTTATGGTATAAACACTCAGTGGCCACTTTATAAGGTAGAACTATAAAATCTCATGCAATCCAATACAACAGCTCAGCCATAAATTCTACATTTACAAACATAATAATGTTCAGTTTTCATTGACACTATCAGATAGCCATTCATTTATTTATGTTTATTACTGAAGTTGTCATTTTTTGAGGTTTGTCAATTTGTAGTGTTGAACTTGACAGCATTATAGTGAAAGGTGTTTCTAATGTTTTGCCCACCCAATTTACAAACACTAATTTTGTAAGGATGTCTTTGTTCTGTTGTCACAGAGCCACTCTTGCTTTGAGGCGGACAGAAAAGAAAGAGAGCCAGGAACATCTGAACATAATGAAATACAGGTGAGCAATAACTCATAAAGTAAAATGTAAAAAAATGACATTGACCTGCTATACTTAAAATTTAACAAATAAGAGCAAGTAAGTTATGCTGCACAGTGGGTAGTTTTGTTTCTGGAATTATCCTCCAGTGTCTACTAATTACACAGAATACCGTTACAACATGTTTTTAAGCTAGTCTTTACTCAGTTGTAGAAAGACTACCTTTATAAGTGTGTGTGGACTATCGTCCATTGAAGTGAATTTTATTATATATCCGGTATTCTGGATGCTTGAACCTTTCCCGCCACTTCTATAAATAAATACTTCAAGGCAGGGTCTGAAATTAACTTTTTTCACCGGCTGTCAGAAATGTTATTAGCCACTTTTTAAAATGTATGTGCTAAATGAAGGAAGAACATTCAGCTCATTTTATAATTTAATGTTCATAATGTCATTCAGTGTTCAATATATTTATGTTTGCGTTCACAAAAGACTCATGTCTTATCTCTCCACCTTAATTAACCAGGTATTTTAATTGAAGATGCACAATCAAAATATATTATTACTCTATATGTCAGCTATGACAAGAAGGATGCATGTTAGAAAGGGATAATGGGTAAAACAAAGTAAAATAGGTTGCTTGATGAGCAGTGGAGAAGTATCAAATTGTAATAATTTAGCAGGGCTTTGTATATTTGTGTTGCGCACACACACACACTGATCAGGCATAACACGATGATGGCGACTGACAGGTGAAGTGAATAACACGATGATTAAATCCCTATCATGGCACCTATCACTGGGCATTAGGCAGAATTTCTTCCTCAAAGTTGATGTGTTAGAAGCAGGAAAATGGGCAAGTGTATAGAAATGAGCCACTTTGACAAGTGTGTTGGTTTGACGACTGGTCCAGAGCAGCTCTTGTGGGGTTTTCCTGGTCTGCAGTCATCAAAAGTAGTCCAGAGTCATGGCCGGCCAGGCCAAGGCTTATTGATGCACGTCGGAGCAAAGCCTGGCTCGAGTAGTCCGATCCAACAGACAAGCTACGGTAGGTCAAACTGCTGAGAAATTTAATCTGGGTCTGATAGGAAGGTATCAGAACACACAATGCATCACAGGTGCCCATGTTGACCCCTGTCCACTGCTGAAAGCGCCTACAATGGGCAGGCGGGCATCAGAACTGGACCACGGAGTAATGGAAGAAGGTGGTCTGGTCTGATGAATCATGTTTTCTTTTACATCACGTAAATGGCCGGGTGTGTGTGTGTCGCTTACCTGGGGAACACATGGCACCAGGATGCATTGTGGGGGGAAAAGGTAAGCCAGCGTAGGCAGTGTGATGCTTTGGATGATGTTTTGCTGGGAAACCTTGGGTCCTGCCATTCATGTGGATGTTACTTTAACACGTACCACCTACCTAAGCATTGTTGCAGACCATGTAAACCCTTTCATGGAAATAGTATTTCAGGATGGCAGTGGTGGCCTCTTTCAGCAGGACAGTGCGCCCCACCACGAAGCAAAAATGGTTCAGGAATGGTTTGAGGAACATAACGAGTTCAAGGTGTTGACTTGTCCAATTGAGAATCTGTCGGATGTGCTGAACAAACAAGTCTAATCCAAGGAGGCCCCACCTCGCAACTTACAGGACTTAAGTGATCTGCAACTAACAAGTTGGTACCAGTTACTACAGCGCACCTTTAGAGCTCTAGTGGAGTCCATAAGCCAATCAGGCTTATCTTTCCACACATTTATATTTTATGATACTTTTTACTGTGCTCAATTTCCGGAGCACCATGAGTATGATGATCATCGTAATAATAATAATAATAATAATAATAATAATTAGGAAACTGAATTCACAAAAGTAAAGATTCTAATTAGTTACATTGAGCTTCATGTCAGAAAGAAACAAAGTATCACCAGTGAAAGATCAACATTAAAGGATAATTTTGGTATTTTTAAACCTGGGCCCTATTGTCACATATTTTGGGGTTGAAATGACTAGTAGATATAAAAAAAGGTTTTGAAATCAGCAGTAGAGTGCAGTGGAGTAGAATGCTTCAGCTGGCAGCCTTAAATCGGCTGTAAAATATTCCCTTGGAACAATTTTGCCTGTCAAAATTGCATCCACAAAAAGTGCTTCTTTTTGCCCCTGACAGGCTCAGGCTGTAACACGAGGTGTCTGACAACATCATGGATCCCTACTAGTAACACCCGGTGACACCCATTGTTTTTAACCAGAAACAGAAAGTCTGTCTAGCATTGACTCGAACATTGATTCTAACATCATAATTTCAAAGTACTGAATGTGTCTTACTTTAAATTTTTGTCATTATTTTGCTGATATACAGTATTTCCCAAACTTTTAAAGGTTCCTTGCTCAATGTGCACAGCTCAAAGTTCCAGTGCAGAAACAAAAAGTTTTGGAGCGTTCATCCTACCACCACCAGGAGGAGACCAAGAAGTCAGTAGTTGTAAAGAAGACTCTGAGCAGCCTGGAGGTAAGAAACACTAGTCTGAGGAGTTTTTAGACCTTCTGATGGAAAATTTTATGTGCAACATTTTTTTTTTTTTTAAAGCCAAACATTTACTTGTTTTAGCATCTCAAGGGTGAGGATTTGCTGCTTTCGCTGCTATTTATCTATTTAAAACTGTATAGCGTATACCTGGTGGTTGGACAAAATAATTTTCTGGGTCTCCAGGAAGACTTAAGAGCTGTGGTCCGTGCACTGGAGAGGACAGAAGAGCAGACTGTCTCCTTGCAGCACACATGCACTATGCTGAGAGAACAGGTGGAGGAGGAAGAGGAGGGGAAAGCTAAAGAGGTACAAAACACTCACACATGCCAGCATACACAAAACATAAAGCATCAATAAAATGGCTTTGTGCTCTGAACTTTTAATATATAGTGTTATATTTTTTTTCCACTGGAACATTCCTGTATCATTACTTTATTCTATAACCAATTGTTTATTAGTTAAAGCTAGGTAGGAGTTTCTTTGTGTGTTTTCAAACATGCTTGTGAAGGGCCATTTAAATGTTTTCACTTGCAGGCAGGACAGGTTTTTGGTAAAATTATTATTGTGACTTTGTCTTTATCCATCCTTCTCCATCCTTCTACTGGTCTACAGTGTCTAACAGATCCTATGCTGAAACTTGCAGACATTATGTGGAAAATTATATGTTTAGATGAGACATTGCTTGTCACTAAGACAAAATCTGTCTTGGTACACTATTTTCATAATGTAGCCATTGCCAAAACACTCTTGGCAGACATTTTTATTGTCATTAGGTTTTCCTAATTTCCTAACATTTATTAAATCTGACAAAAGTGTCTTTGTAATTTTACTACATTACACAGGCCATTTCATCACCGTAGACATCAGACATGTGGTGACCCAGAAACAGAAGTGGTAGATTGCATTTCTCCACACAAATATTAGTCTGTTTGACATAAGTGTGTCTTCACTCTTCTTGTTTATTCAGTTGAACAGCATAATGAAATGTTATCCGTGATCTGACATAATGGGTGTTCTTTTGAGAAAATAGTTCTGAGCAGTAATACAGGAAATCAGCAATTAGTATAATATACTTATCAAAGCAGAGATTTGCAGTGTATTGTTTTTCATTTACCTCAACTATTAGATGAAGAGATAGATTTGAAGTTATACTCATGCAGTCACTTTCTTCCTGGTTGTGTTCACACAGATCTTACAGAACACTGAACAAGCTATTCTTAATCTCCCCCGTCTCCCTCCACAAAAACTTGAAGAAACGTTAGAGGTGAGTATAAGTGGTCCGTGAAACACACTTTTGTACTATCTAGTATCTGCTTGACTTGTCCCTATTGCACAATAGCTGTTTTCACTTTTGTTGTCATTTATATGGTTCCATTCCTTTTTTGTGAATAAAATGTTAAAATGTCTGAGTTAGCACTTCCTCTACAATGTAACTGGAAAGTCTAAACATGTTGTCTGTGGTGCAACGTCTGTGTAAAATTGTGAAATAAACATGAAATTTGTCTTACGAAAGGCGCACAGAGCATGTGACATCTGTGGCTCTGTCTTGTCGGGGCTGATCTTGTCATCTACTGGCTGTTTTTGTTTTAGTTAACATTTTATAAAACATAACCCACATTTACTAGAAATACAAAACAATCACACAGCGGTACTTATTGTTTTTGTTTTTCTCAGGCTCGGATGAGAAAAATTATACCAGACAGTGACTCTGAGACCACTGCCCGGAAACTGGGAGAAATTCTGCAGAAATCAGAGGGCGTCCATGATGCCCAGGCGCTGCTCCTGCAGGCACACAAACATGCTGATCAGCTCTTCAACCCTGGTTTCACCCCCCTCAGTGGTGCACCTTGTTGAGATTGGAACCTCGCCAAATCTCTCTGTTCACAGGTCTGAACAAAATATTTAAAACGAAAATGTACTTTGTCTTAGTGTTACTCAGCTCCACTTTGTGTGGTTGTGCAACACCTGTAATAATCAAATTCAGCATAACATTGAATAATCAATTAGAACATATCCAACAGCAGTATTAAATAAAAGAAACTGGGGCACACACAAATTAAGCAATACTTATTGCAAAAGCTTAAACTGTGAAGATTCTTGAAGTTTGGGAAAAAAGAAAGAAACTTCCACACACTGTCTAACTTGCAAAAAATATATTTATAAGTTGGCAACATTTCGGTGCCGCAAAAGCAATTTGGTACAATAAAAGGAACATCAAATAGGTAGATAAAAGACAAAAACAGCCTTTCATTTCTACTTAAAACGCAGTAAACTGTCACTGTCACACTACAGCATCCTGACCCTTGCCCCTTCTTCAGTTTCCTTTCTTTGTTTTTTAATTTTTAATTTAAAGATTATTGTTGTTGTTTTGCCTTTATTGGAAAGGTGATAGTAGACAATTGGAGGGGACAAAAAGGTCTGTTTCCATGGTTAAACCACGGATGTTGTGGTTATGTGGTATGCACCTTCACAGTATCATTTCCGGGGTTTTCAATTATAATGAAACTATTGCTCCTTTTGGTGAGATCGTAGCACCAGAACAAACAAAGTTTACTAAATAAATAGGGTGGATTGTTCATAATTGAAATTCTTCCCTATTGGAAGTTGAGGACATGAGTGCATTTGGTAGACTAGTATCAACTTTGACTGTAACAGATGTAATTAAATAGATACCATAAAGAAATTAACTTTTGTTCATTCATGTTTTAATGTAGAAAGTAAAGAAATAAAATTTCATTATGTTCACCATTAATTACAGTCTTATCCATTTTGTCAACAATGGCAGAATTGTTGTGCTTTTATGAACAACAAACAATAGTAAAGCTTCTTTGCATATATGAAGAGTGGTACATTCACAGCAAGATAATGATCTTGAAACATATTTACTTCCTACTTAGCATGTTGTGCTTCAATCCTCTTACAGCCTATAGACATGCAGACATTCATTGGTTTATGAGGTACAGTTACAGATACGAGATAGATAGGACATGTTTTAATCTGGTGCCGGTTTCCTAAAGCAGTTTTACTCCTGAGTTCTGAGTTGATGAACCCTTAGATGGGAAACCTTTGAGTTTTTGATTCCTGGTCTGAGTTGGTTCAATCACCTCGGAGTATGTTCACACAGTTTTGAGGAATAAAAATGCAATCATCAATAGAGTTCCAATACTATGATTCACCATTGAAACAGGTAAATAAAGAGCAGAGACTCTATTTTAATACAGTGGACTGCAAATATGAGTGGAGAAAGGAGTTAATAAGTTAACACTATAACATTTTATTTGGCGTAGTCTACTCATTCAGCATTGAATTTTCTTATGATAATATATATACAGGAAATGTTGTATAGGAATGTTCAGTGTCGTGTGTCTAAAGCTTTATACAGATGTGATCAGAGAGAAATTCAGAATTGGTAAAACCTCTCTCTATGAATCTAACCTGCCTACGAGCAGGTTAGATTCACAGAGTCAGTTACCATGATAACCCTTATCTCAGGGGTAACAAACAAATTTTTGCTAATCCCGCTTTCTGGAATACACCCCTGGACATCTTGAGTTTAACAGGGTGATGGATCTGAGTCACTGTTTATACCGATAAGGTAAAATCGGTATCACATTCCTTGTGCCAATAAACGAGCTTTAGAGTGCCTTATCTTGGAGGAATCCATTTAACAAAGGTTACGCTGGGGCCGGCAAACTGTGGTATTCAAATGATGCTGTGTTGACTTTGGCTTGGTATTACCCATAAAGGTGTTTCCTGCCCACTGACAAACAGACAAGATGATTCATGAATTAATTTTTATGCCCAATTTTGATCCTGCCTTCAGCATGCCAGAACGAAACAGCATTTCTGGAGTCTTCAGTCATCCAGTTTTACTGAGGAAACTTGTGTCCATATATCTTCTTGTTTTTAGCTGAGAGGAGAGAAACCCAGCTTGGTTCAGTGTTTGATGCGATGCGAGTTTTTCCATCTGCCATCTTCACTGTTGTGTTGTGACTTGGGAGTGTCATGGGAGTTGAGCCGTCTTTCTCACAGTTTCTGGTACCATTTCTCATTAGAGGGAATGTCCTTTCAGAAACTCAAATCACAAGGATTGCATCTCTACACATCCCTACAAATGTAATAATAATTTCTACCTATTTATCCATTTGCTGTGGTTTTCAGACCCGATAAAACACTGGCCTAAAACACATGCTTTGTTTTACATTAATTCAACCCCTTAAATCTCTTTGTTTTATTTACACAGCTCACTTTTTTTTTTTTAGGAGTATGAGCAATTTCCACAAATGGAAAATTGAAAGCTAAAAGTAATATTTAACACATTTTCGGTCCTTTTTATTTTTTTAACTTTGAAAACTAGTCAGTTACATCTGCGAGTTCTTAAGTGAGTTTTTAAGTGACTTCCGTCTTATGGACTCTGTGGAGTCATCATTGAAAAGTCGTTCAATAGTGGAGACCACTGAAGCTCTGATGGCACGGCCTAAGCCTCGGGCAGCAAACACATACAGTACAGGGTTAAGAGCACTCTTAATGTACACCAGGAACAAAGATATATAAACTGCTTTGATATACAATGCCTTCTGTTTAGGATGTTCCTCGGCCAAGGCCCGCAGGAACCGACAAACAAAATAAGGCACCCAGCAAGTGAGGAAGAGGAGCATGGTGAAAAAGAGCACATGGTACATTCTGGTCATCCTCCGGGCAGTTGAAAGCGACGAGGAGGTGGGTGATGTGGGCATTGCTTGCTGAACGGTAAGCAAAACAGCCAGGTTACTTCCCAAGAATACCAGCAGGGGCAAGATGAAACCTGCTATTGTTTCTGTGACAAACAGCGCCATGTTAAACTTCCCACTCTCGAAGCACTGGTATGTCCCGTTGATTTCCATCAGGAAAGCACTGTGGAGGTATGGGGCAGACAAGGTCGTGGCTATCAGCCATAAGATGCCACAGGCCAGAGGAACGGCCCACGAGGGGCGTCTCAGTCGAGCCCACACGGGCCTCAGCAGGCAGAGGCATCTCTCCAGGGCCACAGCACAGAGCAGGAAAGCGGAGGCGTATAACCCCAGGCCTCGCAGGAACATGACCAGTTTGCAGAAGACAGGACCAAACGGCCAGCTGTAGTTGTGAGCCACATAGCCCAACATGAGGGGGGTGCGCAGGAGCAGCACCAGGTCAGCCAGGGCCAAGTTCAGGACGTAAATACGGAAACTGCTGGCAGCACGCGTCTCCTCGCTGCTGCCTCTGCGCACCAGGTGACGATGACTCCGCAGTCCAAGTGCCCAAACCACCAGCCCATTCAGAGGTACACCCACCTTGAAAAACCAAGAGGACCAGCCGTCAATTATTTTCGGGATGACAGACTTTTTAAGCAGCAGTTTTGACAAATGAGAAGATTGATACCACTCATGTCTGTCAAATTAATATGAAGCTACAGCCAGCAATCAATTGGCTTAGCTCTAAACAAACACACCGTCTTCATTAGTGAGCTTTACAGAATGTTGATAGGCAAGCTGTTTCCCTCTGCTTCCAGTTTTTATGCTGAACTAAGCTAACTTGCTGCTGGCTCCAGCGATATATTTGCTGTACAGACAGTAAAGTGATATTGATCTTTTTGTGTAACTCAAAAGCAAATACAGGTACATGCCAAAACATTTAACTATTCCTTTTAAATATGTTAAGTGCAACATAGTCTATGATCACTTGTGTACTTTTCAAGTGGAATTTATGATAAGTCATTGTGATGGACATACAAGAATTTAAGTTCAAGCTGAGTCATTCGCCCTTAACTAGGTTGTGTTTGTGGCCCCAAAACCTCATAACCCACAGATGATCTAAACTATTATTATATACTGTTGTGTGGGGCTTGGCAATAAAACAATAATGATAATTATCACAATATACTTTCCCTCAATAACAATATAACAAATGTTCAATCATGAACCAATTAGCACTTAATTCTGCTATTAAAATAATTATTTTATTGAGGAACAATTTTATCAATTGTTCTGAATGTTCTACCTCAGATTTGTTAAATGATGCACTGTTTGACAATTAGATATATAGAGGATTTCTCACCAGGAAAATGAGCAGAGTGACTGTGATTTGGACTCCCCTGACTGCCTCCGCCTGCCAAGAGCTGCTGGAGCTGTTGGGGCTAGTTTGAAGCTGGTTCACTGCAGGAAACTGTGTTCCATTCATATCGGCCATTGAGGTGATGTCGAAATGGAGATGAGCCTGAAACACAGAAGACATGGATTTGATGTCACGGATGCGTTGATTTTTCTCTTCTGAAATTCCACTAGAAATTTTAAATTAAATGAAAGCAATCCATTTTTCCTTTTCAAAGAAGATGGAAAATGCGCAACTTGCATTGCACACAAATTAGGATTTCATATGTCAGTTGCCTAAAACGCAGACAAGCTGATGTCCACACCACATACCAACATAACAGCACAGACTTCCTTTCTTACGTTTGCTCAATGTTGTTTCATTGCTGAGAAGTCTTCTATTTCACAAGTAACAAGATAAAAATGTGCAGTTGTGAGTATATCACTTACATCTGTCATAACTCACCAAACCAACTTGTTTTCACTTCAAAGGAGATTGCACTAATTCACATTTATTTGCAGGAGACTTACCTTAACCTTAGAAATTCTAATGGAAGGTCCAGGTTTTGTCCCCAAATGGGAGATTAAAACAAGCACACACAAATCCTGTACTTGTGTCAGGTGTTCTATTAGCAGAAATGATTACAGAGGAAGGAATCTGTTCTTTCCTTAAGCCACCACTGCCCCAGGGCAGTGCCTGAATGTACATCTAGACTGGGCCTGTTTGTGTATTGCTGGAATGAACAGCATGCATGCAAACACCCCTGCGTTAATGAACACACTTTCTTTGGTCTCCACACAGTAGCAGCGCTAACCTGTGCCAAGGTAACTGACAGCAGTTGTGCTGATAAAGTTCAGATTTCTAGAATCTAATTGTAACCAAGACCTTAAGGATTTACGACCTGTGTCTTAAATTCAGTGTTTGAAAGCTGCTACAGATCATTTTGGATGTTAATTTAGTTTGTTTCTTACCTCCTTTATTTGCCTTGTGTGTGGGAGAAATGGAGCAAGAGATAAAGAAAAAAGGAGTGTCTGCTGGCTGTTATAAGAACAATATCTCTCTCTCTCTCTCTCTCTCTCTCTCTCTCTCTCTCTCTCTCTTTCCTGTGTGATTGCAACACACAGTCCTTCCTATGAACATATCTATGAACATCAGAGACCTAGCTTTCGATCATATTATTTTTCAACCAATGAAATGCCATTTCCTCTGACTCCAACCAGCTTCTATCAAATGCTCTAAATGAGCCTTACAGGCATAAAATGATAAAGTGCTACATTACAGTCATACATTAAACTGGCATTAAATTTCTTCCAACTGGGATTTTTTTTTTTTTTTTAAAGCTAGAAAGCATTTACAATATTTTTTAATGTTTTGGATTTCTATGATTTTATACAATTTTCTTATAGACAAAAAAACTATTTGGTGCTTTAGTAATGCACATTCATTTTCTCCAGTTTTATTCTTTATTCCTCTGCTTATTCTTCTGGAGTTGGTTCCACAGTTTGGTACGAACTAAGAGCCTGCATCGATCAGCAAGAAATCTCATTAAATGCCAAATGTTTTGTATTTCTTGGCCACTTTTTGCCTTAATTAAATGATGAGACAACAAAGGCCCCCTGGTTGTGCGTGAACTGGGAATGCTGCAATTACATGATCAGCATCTTAGACTTCTAAGCCACCATGATGCATTGTATTTCCCTCAGCCTTTCACATTCATGTCTTCTAAATGTTTAGCTCCACTATATGCCTATGGGAAGCTTAGTGTAGCAGACGATGTAATCAGAGCAAGAAACTGGTTTTTAACACCGGAAAAAAAATACTGAAACTGCTTTCAATCTCACAGTTTCAACTCTTGACACACATTAGTAAAATGTCGCCACAAACTTCCTCTCTCAAAAATATACTTTAAAATTGTGAAGGTGTAACCCTTAATCGATCTGGGAGAGAAATAATTAATAACTAATTTCCCCTTTTTTCAACAAACAAATTGTTCCATAATTTGAACATGGTTTATATAATCAATTTACATAATACTCCTGCTGCCACTCACAATGTAAAAATCTTAACCCATTTTTTGCAATTATTGTCATTTTCCATATCTGTCTTATAACTTCATAGAATTTCATCCAGCTCACACCACGTGTATGTTGTTTGGCTAATTTATCCTCATGTGTCTGTGCAGATCAGTTCACATGTTGAGTCACCACAAAATTTAGGTCCTTGGTTTCATTTTCCTTATGACCAACGTTCTTGTTGGTTGATGAAGATGCCCCTGGCACCAAAACAAAGTTGGTTTGCACTGATAATTGAAGTTGGTTATTTCACAACACAACTTCCAGCTAGAGGATGTTGTGGTTAAAAGTGTGTTGTTTGGAGAGGTTGAAGCTCAGCTAGAGCAACTTCCTGACAAACTTTTAGAGGACTCTATAATATAATAATCTCTGGCCAACATAGTTTGGGTTGCAAAGTGTTGCTAAAAGTGCATTTATGAGGGTGTTTTTTTATAGTGATGATGACATGATGATGCAATAGTTCACCTCCACCAGTAGATGGCAGTGCTGCTTGTTTAGTAAACAATGTGAAACTCTAATAGGTCATTTCTGTACTGAAGTGATTTTTAGGATTTAGATGTTTTTTTAAAGGCTGACTGGACTGGGACATGACTCTCAATACATTATAACACTTTAAAGGATTCATGTCTGGAATGAATTAGACAATTGCTTCAGTCACTTTATGGGATTTTATTGCGGCATTTTTCATTTGTGACGTTTGATTAGCAGTGAAATGTTTCTTTTTTCAAATGTGTACATATGTTTCAATGTGGAGCAATTACATTTTTGACTGATAATGCTGCTTGTTACTGTACTCGTATGTGGGAGAAGACAGATTGAATTATATAGACATGTCCATGTTGCTACAGACACTAACTTTTTGTTTAATCGTCCTGCAATCATTCTTTTATTAGCTGAATGATCACAAATCATTGGGCGAATGAAACCTATTTAAACAGCTATTACAGACCTTCTAATCTTCCTCCACCTACAAAAAAGCCCTCCCCCAATAACAACCACAAAATACATCTTTTTTTAACTACATAACCATATAGGGACAATATTCACAGATGGCCATTCAACATTTCACATTTATTGAGTAGCAGTCATGTAGGTTTTGAAATACATGTATGGATCAGAAACATTTTATGATTTTGAATAGATACATTTTATATAGATATATTTTTAATACCGTGTGCTGGTGTTCTGTCCTGATCTGAATATCAGGTCATACTTTTTTCTCTGTGCTGCCATTAGGGCACTTGAATGTGAGGTCTTTCACTCACGCAACAGTTAACACTCGTTTTACAGCACCCATGAGGCAGCAGACCCTTTTGGCGTACCTCAAAGAAATGGGATTAAAAAACTAAACAAAGGAAAGTGGGGCGCTTTTATTTTGTAGCCAGCAAGATAACGAAAACAAGCATACTCAACTACACTATGCAGGAAGAAGAAGTTTAAGTGCAGCAGAAGTTATCAGACAGTGAGCAATGGACTTCACATGATTCTTGCTGTTTCAATTCTTCTGATTGGTGAACCCTTACGAATTAAAGGAATATAATAACCGAGGAATGGACACATTCGGACTTAACAACCACCTCAAAGGAAGGAGTCAACACAATTTTTTTTCATCTTTCTTGTTCATCTTTCTCGTCTGTCTGTGACTCAGCTATTAAATTAAGTTTTACAGTACTTACATACTTTTTATTTTTTTTATAGAGTTTAAGTTTACAGAGACAGTGCACATTGATAAACATTTCTGTAAATGTGCCAGTTTAGCCAGCTTGGCTAATGCAAGACTTACTTACTTTTTCTTTCTTTCTTTCTTACTTTCTTACTTACCAACCAACCAACCTACCTATCTTTCTTTCTTTCTTACTTAGATAAAGTACATTCATACATATATGTACATATATACATAAATACATGTACATACAACAGTGTTTTGTATTGTTGATATTTCAAGTTGAGCTTTTTGAATATATTTTCTTAAAATAATTATTTATAGAGCTTTGGAAATGAACTGCTCTAGAAACTGAGCCTTTCAGTTTTCAGCATTTTACATCACAAGTGTGACATCACATTTTTGGCAGACAAATGACTTTAGTTTCGGTTTGGAGACTGTAGAGGCATTTTACAATACTAACCCTATGATACTAACTCATTATGTATGAAATATATAATATGTGGGTAGTTACAAACATCTTTGTACATTAATTAATAAAAAGGTGACATTTTGCTGTGTAGTCCTAGTATTTATGTTAAAATTATGAAAGTAGATCAAACATTGATTTTTATGGAATCAGTTGGCTGACAGTTCCAATAACCAAAAACTTGAGTGCGTATATTTAAAGCAGTTTGTGGAATTGAATCATAACTAGCATTGGTCTTTCCACCTCTGAAGCTCACCCACACTTCCTTTAAACCAGCTAATTTTAGATGTAGGGGTTTTGATTGGGGAAACCAAGCGTTCACCTTGAAAGAGCAGGAAAGAAAGATAACTCTGTACTTTCTTGCTCATAATGTTTATCTATTAGATATTATTTCTATTATATTGTTTAGGAGTAAAACAACAGCTACTTTCAGTCTAAAACTGGTGCTGGTAATGAAATGAAAATGTCTTCTGGAGAATTCAAAAACTCTAGCTGTGTCGTCTCTGTCTGAAATTTTCCCTCTGGTGCCACACATGTCACACTTTGAGGGCACGCAGACCAAGATGACGGCATAGAGAGCTGGAAATGCTATCTGATCATATCAGCTGTATGTCTGTCGGGCCTCATGCATATCCCACATATGACAGGAAAACAGGGTGAAGTAAGGCCATGGTTGCCCACGTGGAAACACTGAAACGGAACTTGGTGCTGCAGAAACAGAGAGAAAAAGAAAGTTTTTTTTTTTTTTCCTTTTGACTAGACCTAAATACAACTCATAAAATCCTTATGCTTTAATGGGCAAACTTTCACGCTGGCTTGTTTCTGGTTTCGTCGTAGATGCTCATAAATACATCGAAAGTAGGTAAGGTTATGAGTGAAGGTGATAGCGGTGATAAAGGCTTTCTTGTATGTTTTGTCCCTTCAGTTGAAGTTGAGAAAACACCTATACGATGTCAGTTTCTCTCTGAGGCAACAGACAGATGCTCTCTGTCTCTTGACACGCTTATTTTCACATGATGTAAAGTTTTCTGATCACCAAGACAATACGCAACTTTTTTTAAAAATGAAAAGGGAAACATATAAAGCGACTTCCTTCCTGAATTTGTCATTTGTAAGAGGTGGAGACAGAACACTAGACAGAAGAAGAGAGGATTACATTTAAAGCCTCCTCAGCTGGCATATTACACATTGTGAATTTCCAGTACATGAAGGGGGGTCCCCTGTTGCATCTCTGCTTCTTCCCCCGCCTGCTCATGTACGTTCAACCATTTCCCTTCAATTACTACACTGTCTGTCTTTTTCAGTGTGTTTCCTCTTTAACACGCTGACAGGAATGTAATGCACTTGATATTAGTCCGCTGAATGAGTGAAAGAAAAGAGTTTGCATGAAGCCAAAGTGTGCAGCCAGCTAGCCAGTCAGATAATGCCATTCTCAGTGCAGGAAAATGGGGGGTTGGGAGGTAGTGAGAAAGGATGGGACG